TATATATTATTAAAATTTTAGATACAAAGTGAGACAGGATATACTTATCGTGACGTTGATTTAGGAATATCCGAGGTGACAGCAATGATAAACACTAAGTTTGCGGATCCGAGGGAGGATCATCCCGATGTGCAGCTAATCTTCGGCGGTTACCTGGCCGATTGCGCGGAGACTGGCATGGTGGGCGAAAAGAAGGGCACGAACCGCAGCATCTACATCATCCCGACTATCCTGCACCCGAAGAGTCGCGGTTATCTGCGCTTACGGAACAACGATCCTCTCTCGAAACCGCTGATCCACCCCAAATACCTGACTCACGCCGACGACGTGGCCGCTCTCGTAGAAGCTGTTAAGTTCAGCGTCCGATTATCGGAGACCGAGGCGCTCAAAAAGTGCGAACCTCCAATCCTCAACGGTCTTAGACAGAGATTACTTGAAAACTTCGACTTGCACTCACGTGGGCTACATGGATATTCTTTTTAGGTACGGTTTCCAGCTGGACCGGACTCCCGTGAAGAACTGCGAGAACCTCAAGTTCGGCTGCGACGCTTACTGGGAGTGCGCGATTCGTCATGACACCGCGCCCGAGAATCATCAGGCGGGATCCTGCATGATGGGTCCACCGGACGACCCACTGGCCGTGGTTGACAATCAATTGCGAGTTCGAGGGGTGCGAGGTGTAAGAGTGGCCGACACGAGCATCATGCCGAAGGTGACGTCTGGCAACACGAACGCGCCGGCGATCATGATAGGTACGCAATTTTTTCCTCTTCTTATCTCCTTTTTATGTCCTTCTTCCTTCTTTCTGCATGTGTATACGTATTACAGGTGAAAGAGCGGCGGACTTTATCAAGAAGACCTGGATCGGTTGACACGAAATTGTTCAATCCAACGATCCGACTGCACTCTCCTATTATCACTTCACTAAGGACATTGTGTTTCCCCACACAGATAAATAACTGAAATAAATGAAAAGGAAGAGTAAAGGAGTTTTAGGAAACGTAGAATATTTATATAAGAAATTGCAAATATATATAAAATTATTCTTAGATATTTTAAAGTATAAAGTATAATGTTATTTGAAAGTAAGTAATGTAAAAATTAAGTGGAATACACGCGCGTACGCGCGGACGCACGCGCACATAACTCTCTTGCGGATTGTGTTACTTCGAATCTCCCACCGTAGATGAGAAATTTTACATGACACACGTTTGTATCCCTCTGACAAGTTTCGTAATTAATTAGTTAGTTTAATTAAGGGGTATTATTTCGTGTATTATTACTTAAAAACATATACTTGTCCCAATTAGTTATGTAATTCATCTGATGCATCGAAAACGATAATTACTTAGCAAGAATTTTTTAATTTAACCGATGAAAAAGCTCGTGTTACGTGACAATTCGGAATTTACTTTACACGCATTTGATTTATTATCGTATGTTTAAGTTCGTTTCGTAGTAATTTTCCGAAGATTGTATCTTCCAAGCCAAACGGGTCCTTTAATCGCGAGAAACTTTAAATGGGCAAGTCGTACGATTGCGATTTTCCTCTGCATTTCCACCGAAAATAAATAGAGTAAGGAACTTCGTTATACTGTAAATAGTACATTGCCACAGTGTATTCTACGAATCACTCGTAATGATGTACAAATAAAAAATACTTTCGCGAGATACTTCATATCTCTTTTGAAATGCCATCAATTCGAGGCATCTTTTCTTTCATTGAATAAAAATTCCTGTATTTTCCAGGTTTTTAGTTTCGAAAATTTCAAGAGTCATTCGACTCACAATAAAAATGACATATGGTTATGAAAGTATAAAATCTGGAGAAGAGACATGTGAAATAAAATTTGATTGAGATAAAACAGTGATCATATCAATGAAGATGGTAAGCTTTCCTCGCGCTTATTCACCCAGACGTTTTAATTAATTTGTGTTGGCTGAGGTAATATTTTTCGCAATAAATTTTCTGTATTAAAACACTGGCCGGTTAATGTCGACTAAAAGCTTGATTATTATTAGTTACTGGCAACTTAAAGAGATTTCTATGTTTTAATTAATTACTCGATAACTATTACGAATTTTATAAACTGGTACATAACTTTCCATTTTTCAGTTTAACCCGCTCTACCAATATACGAGCGGATGGACACCTTATCCGTAACACCCTTATAGTAATAAATATCCTTCTTTTTTTCATAATACATAGACTTTTATTAAATATTTCTAATTTATTGATAATATACAAAACATTTATCAAAGCCAAATATTCGTTCGTTGGTCTTGATCTCTGACATAAATGCGGATTATGCCGAACATTTGTACATTTTGTTGATCCTCTGATAATCTGAGGGACTAAAGCCATTCCTCTGCCCGATTACTGCTTTTGCATTCTGAAAATTCCGCAAATGAGATCACAATGTCACTACAAATATTATTTCTATAGATATTCATATAAAAATGAATATGCAGACATGTAATTTAATGCGTGTAATTTAAACTTGCAAACTTGTAAAATGTTCCCTCTTTCTCTACATCGAACTGACAAATCGATAACTCGAATCCACTTCTATCCAATAATTAAGTAATGCAATTAACGACTTACTAACGACGCAAAGAATATTCATAAAAATCTTACTTTTGTCACGATAGTTTTTACTTTGGTGTCTATAGCAAACGCGTACGCTGAATAATGCATCACGCTGCGGTAATCGTAAGGGATGCCGTATTCTTCGACGACATTCGGGGAAAGTTTGACGAAATTACTTGCGGTACCTGGATGGACGAAATAAAGGTAGAAATTTATATAGAAATGTAGATCTACAGAGTACTCCTTAATTACAGTGTTTGCCAAAAATGATGTAAAAGTCGCTCGTTGTTTTAATGTTAAGGGATTAACATTATTCCTTCAAATTTGTGTTTATCACATTTGAACCATACGAATTTTATTAATTTCTTAATCTTTAATCTTTTATCGCTTGAATGGATTGCAAATACGTACTTTGTATGATATTCTTCCAATTGATAGTCACGTAATCATCTCGGTCATATCTAGTGTGCTCGTGCCAAAAACCAGCAGCGTGCATAATCTCGTGTATTACGGTACCCTTTTTGGTTACGCAACCAGGAATCTGTAAGTTTATTCTTTGTGCACCGCCGATCCTGCCAATGCTGCTCCAGCATCCGGTATTATCGCTAGTAATTTTGACATAATCCTGTTCATTCGTCCTCGCCTTAAGCCGCAAGCAAGTATACTTTTCATAGTCTTTTATCGCCTCACGTATAAGATTCATCTGCGCGCTATCTGCAATACAAAATTGACATACAAAAATCATAATAATGAAACAATAACTTCAACTAAGAACATTTATCTATCTATCGGATTACTCAGGTGAATACTTAATTTTTTGTTTTCCACTTACATTTTAAGCGAAATCATGAAATAAGACACCGTGAAGTGTCTTATTATTATATTTTATTTTAATTTTTCCAAGAATAAAATATAATTCTGTATGGATAATTTGAAATAACACAAAGTGACGAATTAAATTAATAAACATAAGATACAAGTAGAACATTTTTTTGTCTTGATCAAAAGTTATATCTTATAACATATGCGGGAGGAATTTAAGTTCATTAGTATGTATTAAATTTTCATGAACATAATATACTGCAGAATAAGTGATTTTGATGAACAAACTACAGAATGGCTTAACTTTCGTTCTTGAAAATACTTACTGAAGTTACCCTGGATTACATAAGGAATAATGCGATTAGGCCAACGGAGCTTTGGGTCTTTCGCACCGTTTCGTATAGTGCTTTCTGTGACCATAATGTCTCCCTCCAAGTAGTTGCCCAATTCTTCAGGATTCACGTTCATGTCTTCGGTCCACTGCGCTACCTTCATTCCTGATTCGTTGTCCGGGACCGTCAGGGCCAATTCTAAGGTATAATCCTTTACATCAGGGAGCGGTCCCGCCGATGCAAATGTAAGGACGACAAGCGTCCACGCTAACGATCGGTGCAACATGATCAACGTTAAATCAAATTGAAGCAAGTTACTTTAACGGTAATCCTGACGACTGCGGAATACAACTTATCGGATCGTTTTTATACGTTCCAGTCTCAAAAATTTTCTTACCCCCACCTACACCACTTTCAGGCAAATGCGGATATCGTACCAAAGATCCGATAAAACACAAATTTGCTGACGATCAAGTATACGATTCTCTTTTCTGTATTTTTTTTTTATATATCTGCTTACGTACTAAAGGTGCGAGTGAGGTGAATATTTGGTTCAATTAACTCAAACGAGTATATTTAATTGACTGATTTGATTTCATCATTTTAGCGTTGTGTATCTAATTTGTTACTGCTTGGTTTCTCTGGAATTGCAAAATTTATTTGGTTGCGCGCATTGCATGTAAACATTAACACATAATTTAAAATCCGATGAGATACGTTGTGTGTGCTGTGAAGTTGAGATAAAATTAATGTAAAGCTATTTGAGTAATTTTCTTTTCACGACAACATCTCGAACAACTTAAAAAGTTTAAACAGGTGAAAAAGATAAGTTTGCGTCTTATGTTTATGTTGTCTGGAGAGCGCGAGAAGTCGCACACGAAATTGATATCTCTTTTCCTCGAAATGTTTTCGATATTATCACTTTTTTATTATTTTCAAAGTTAAAAGGTATTAAATAGATACATATAAAATTATGTGTCATCTGAAAGTTTTTTAAATCTCTTAATACGTTAAAATGTGATCATTCTTTAGCAAGAAGTAATTTTATTTATGAAAAATGAAGATTATAACACATTTTATTTACAAAACAATTTTGAATTTTATTTTACACTTACAATTAGTGCATGGTACGTCTACGTATCATTCTGCGATAATTTGCAAATTTTACTTTTGTATTGTCATTTTTTCTGCATTTTTATCGGAAATAAATCTGGCAAGAAACCTTCCCAGATAGCAATGCATGTCTAAAAGACGTCATAAAGATATGTTCAAGACTCCTTTTAGACGTGCATGTCTAAAAGACAACTTAATGCCGTCTTAAAGATCGTCTTTTAGACATGAATGCTAGCTGGGTTGTTATTGAGTTGCACTGTAAGAAATACATCATGCATCGTAGATAATCTCTTATGAATTACTCGTAAGGTGAACAAATAATAAGTATTTTGTCGCAAAATATCTCATTTGTTTGCGTGTGTATTGGCATTTACGTAACGTTCTCTTTATCAATCAAAAATTTCCAGCGCGTATATTTCCTTTACTTTTATTCTCAAATTTTAATACTCAATCAATATTTGATCATTAACGAAGAAGATAAAAAACTCAGTAAGAAAGGTGCACTTGTGTATTGTAATATGTAACTTTATAAGGTAGGCATAACATTAAAGTATACATGATAATGATTATATTAATATATAATAATACTGTTAATATACCTACACACTCGCTGTTCGCATATCAGTTTTTTTTTTAAGAGACACAATACGCTTCGCACATAAGACTAGATATTTCTGATTTCTTATTAATTAACTCCAATCAAGAATTTCATCTTTCTTGTGTAGTAACACGTTCGAGAACTGCTGACGATGTTTATTCATTAGTACTGCTCGATGAAACCTATGCCCGCGCGCTTGCCACAGCTGTACATCCTCCTGATTTTCAGAATGTCTTTCTTGCTGAAACCCTCCCTCTGACCGAGCTTCACCTCGTTGTTACCCTGAAAGATTCCGCCAATAAGATCCAAAATGCTGCCGTCCAGCTGTCTCTACAAACACATGGACACGTGTATGACAGTGCGACTCGCAGACTCGCGAAATGTACTTCAAACTGACGTACACGGTAGCTCGTGTCTGCGTAAGCTCGAACCGCTCGAGTAATATAATGTGTGAAAATGTTTTTAGGAATCACTTACTTTGGGCATGATGGTTTTTAATTGATAATTCTTGGAGAACGCCGTGGACGAGTAGTGCATCACGCTGCCGTAATCGTAACCGACGCCGAAAGCGTGGGTGATCTCCGGGGGAGCCTTATTAAAATTGTGCGCGTGACCTACATGCATAACGCACATGGTAAAAATAGAATTTCATAATGCAGAAAGAGATAACCTCAGCCGGTTATTGCGCCGATGACCGTAAAGTTTTACGGTACAGAGAGTCATATTTAGTATTGAAGACGTTGGTATCAAGGCGGTTTAGTATTGAGTTAATATCAAATTCTCGTGCTGCGAGCGAGCGAGAGATTCTCTGGTAAGCCTAAAAAAATCATAGAAAAGCCTTGCCAGAGAAGGGATTAAAGAAATGTTATTTAATTCAATAATGTCCATTTCTATCAATGCAGATTAACTTTAACTTATTGTTACCTCTCTCTAGTTCTAAGAGTTGGGCAAAGATGGAAAGTAAATTACACCGAGATTAAAGTTAATCTCGTTAGGCCGAAATGGACATGAGTCAATTGATATTGAATAACATTGAGTAACAGGCAAGTTTTATTCATTCTTGTAAAAAGAGTCGATCCTCAGAGGTCTCAGCTTTAAAAAATGGTAGCAGTTAAGATAAAAAAGGGGGGGAGGAACGCGGGAAAGTGTGTCAAATGGGCAATTAGATCAGAGGATTATGATATTTTCTTTCAGACGGCTTATCGCTCGTGAGTAGGGCACATACCGTGTGAGATATTGTCCCACAGAATGTCCACGTAATCGTCCCGCTCGTATCTGCTGTGCTCGTGCAAAAAGCCGACGGCGTGCATCAGCTCGTGTATCACCGTGCCCTTCTGCGTCAGGCAACCGGGAACCTGAAGGTTTATGTCCTGCCGGCCGCCGATCCTGCCCACGCTGCTCCAGCATCCGGTGTTACCAGCCGTGATTCTGACGTAATCGCTCTCCTCGCCTGTGTACGGCTTAAATCTGATGCACGTGTACTTGTGGTAGTCGTCCATCGCGTCGTATATAACTCTCTGCTGCTGGGCGTCTACGCAGGTTTCACGGAGAGATGAAAATGCAGCGGTTTTAGAATATAAGAGCCTTCAATAATTGCTCACAGGTGAATGCTTAAGCACTAAATTCTCCGAGTGTACAATTAACAATTATCTAATCGCGGCACTTAAACCGTCGGGCAAAACACCAAAGTAATTCAATAAGTACGCTATTGTTTTTTTTTAAACGTAAAGGAAAGTCCCCTATTGTGAGATAGACTTCTAATATGAGATAGCGGGGTTTCTGTTAAATTAATAGGCATCATCCGATTCCACCATGAATTAATTTCATTCGGAGCGAAATCTGTGTAGTGAAAAATTCATTGTTGGATCGTGTAATCGTTGCGAAAGAAGATTTGTGATTGAACCTGGGTGTTGAGAACCTGCTGTCTCATATTAGAAACCAAACTCGTAATAGAGGACTTTCCTCTAATACAAGCGGAGACCAGTTTAAAAAGGAATACGAAATACGGGAACTGGGTCGTATCGAGTACTCACTGAAGTAAGGGCTAAGCACGAAGGGAATAACGCCGTTGGGCCACCGCGCGGAGACCGCCGCGAGACCGTTCCTTCCGATGCTCGGCGGAAACAGGATGTCTCCCTCCGCGTATTCGCCCAGCTCCTCCGGGTTCACGTCCATGCCCTCGCGCCACTGTGCCACCTTCAGTCCGGTTTCGTTGCTCGGGAACCCGTAGAGCAAACCGCCGAGGTTCCGCAGGTGAGCGATCAGCCCGTTGGGGCCGTCCACGGCGTTGTCGAAGACGTCGCGACGACGGAGGACCGGCCAGGCCGACGTCAACGTCGTCAAGGCGAGGAACGTCCACGCGAGGGTGGCTGGCAGCCGACGCAGCATGGTCGTGGCTGAGTCGGATCGCGGTACCGGTCTCGGGGTACCTCTAGGATACCTGTACGAGTCCACAGTCCCGCGACAACGGGCGCGAATGCAATGATACGCAGCCACTCGAGCCGTTCCCTTTTTTATACGCCATGTCGAAAAAAATCTGTGCCCCACCCGGGGGCACGGATGTGCCGTAGGAAGCCGCTCCGGAAGTGATCGGGGTCATCCGTTGATAACCGTGGACTTTGGGTGATGGCGAGCTCAGATTTGCGCCTGGTATCTCGCTGATACCCCGAAGGCGCGACACCAAGACCCTGAGGACGCTGTTACGCGTGAGTCATTAATCCTCCCGGCGCGGCGATTATTCTATGGGAGGCCGAAATTCTTAATACCTCTTTCGCAATTTTGATGACATACGTGGGTCGTTACCAACATTGTTAATATTCATATTCGGAAGATATAGAGTCGCCGTTTCCTCGCCGAGAAATACCATACACTGGGCACAATTTCGAAATACTCGATTGGTAATCGAGCATAAGTAGTCAAGTATTCGAAAGCATTTAATTAGGTATCGACTGAAGAAAATTGTGTACGAAATGTTTGCCTGCTCTTCTAGGTTGAGACTTTACGAAAATTTCGGAAGATAAGTCGAGGATAATTTTAAAGGATAAAACTTGATCGGTGGATTCAAATGCGTCTGACAGGTCCATACTTTATTTTCTATTCGCAAGGAATATAAGGTAGAAGATGTTAAAAGCGTAAGGTACTCCCCGCGGAAGTGAGGAAGCGCGGAAGCCGTCAGATGGTCATTGCCACTTGATGCGTCAAGTACATCTGCATAATCGGAGAACGGCGCTATTAGCACATAGAACGATGGAATTAATATCCCGACACGAGTCATTCACATGCAAATCTTGTCGAGCAAACATTTGTCATCGAAGAACCTCGGCGTATGACAGCAAATAGTCAAGGTCGTCACTCGTGTCGCCGTTTCGATAACTTACAATTACCAATACATTGCTTCGCTTAAAACACTTTAGCATAAAAACGAAATCCGAACTAAACGTCGAAACATTTTGAATATTTAGATTCTTTATGTGCCGCTTGTGAAGCTTAAATGCTTAGAAAGCTTTCAAGGTGTTTCGCTGAATTTTGGTATAAAATAAAAATTAGGAAGAATCTTAGAAAAACGTTGTGGAGAACAAACCGAGTATTTGTCCAGACTTTCTGTTCATAATAGCATTTATAAAACATTCTGATTTAAATATTTATCAATTTTTCTAATTAGAATCTCGCGTGAATTTTTTTTTGAGGAATCAGACAGAAAATTCTAATTAAATCCCTGAAAGGAGAATCTAATGTACGAGAATGCTTGTTATATCGCGAGTTCGCGGTGGACAAAATTTTCATATGAGATTTCGCGAAAGAACATTGACACTGCGTTTTTACGTGCGTTCGAAAAAATGTAATGGACAAAACACAACTATTTATGATTATTCGAGTGAACAGTTTACGTAAACTTGATCGGTATGCGAATAATACGAGTGAATAGAAAAATAGATCTTGTACGGTCTGGCTGGATCTTTGTGCCTCGCAATCATTAGAGCAGAGTTCTCTATTATGAGATAGAATTCTAATGTGAGATAGTAGGTTTTCAACATCCAAATTCAATCACAAATCTTCTTTCGCAACGATTACACAATTCAATTTTCCGCTAAACAGATTTCACTCCAAGGACAATAAATTCATGCTGGAACCAACAGACGATGCCTATTAATTTAACAGAAACTCTGCTCTCTCACATTAGGAGCCTATCTCTATAATAAAGGACTTTACTCGACTTAAAATTTATACACATTTTTTTCGGCCCAACAGATTACTAGGCCACTGTCGGTCTTAAAAGCCTCCCAAGCTGAAATAGTACAATCGCATAATTAAATTGAAATTATTCGAGTGATTATAAACGGCAGCGACTAATTACGAATATCGCAGTGCTTAACTAGCATAGCAGAGTGTGGGACTAAAAACAGCACTACGAAAATACCACTTCGCGTTATCTAAAACCAGTTTGAAGTGTATCTAACAGCGTGCTAGAGCTAAATGTTAGAACCCGGGTCCCCTTTTCTATTTACGTAGAGCGCGGGACGATAATTTTCGGTAAAAGAAAAATAAATCAATCCCGACGGCGCGCGATTAACATACAGGTTGGTTCCGGAGTTTGCGTTTACCTGGCGCGTTTAGAGAAATACGATAGAAATTAAACTGAAATTATGTGAATACATTAATTTTAATTAATGTATACATATATTTGGGTACAACTTAAATGACTATTGCTTTGTGAACAGTTTAGTGTTCAATGAGACACGTTGTTAATTCGGATCAACCCTAGCGGAAAAAATTTCTATAAATAACTACAAAAATTGACTTGACATAGAAATTTGTAGAAATTTATATATTTACGTTGAAACATAATTTTTTATGTAAAAATATCTACAAAATAGTACCATAAATTACAATGTTCTCAAATCAAGAAATTATTGCAAGTAGTATTTCATGAAAATGTACAATTTTGTAAAAACTAGTACAAAACTTTACTAGTTAAAAAAATTCGAGAAACAACAAAATCTTAAAGAATTGAAACATCTGCTTACTCGTAGAATATAACAAAAATTAACAAAAGTGTTAAAATTCTAGCATTTTCATGTCGATTTTCATAACACTTTTTAAATTTGCGTAGAATTTCTTAGATTCTGGCAGTAATATTTAACTTTTTTGTAGATTTTTGTATAATTATTTCCTACAACTACCTACATTTTTGAAATGCTTATAGACCAATCAAATTCGTTATGCGTATGCTTGTGCACTTATGCAAAAGTGTGTGTGCTCCCCGCTTTACACTTTCATGTTACCGACCTTTCATGCATGCAGCACGGAACACAACCAAAATTGGGCACTGCATTACCCGCTTGAAAAATGGGCGTAGCACGGACGCGCACCAAAAGTGGAGACTTTATCGGCAGTGCTTGAAAATAGTTCCAAAAATGAAAATGGGCGTAAGGCGCTGGAATCAGCCGGCGTGGCCGATCTCAAGTTTCTCTCTGGGGGCCGTGGCAGCCAGGGCCCAGGAGTCTCTCTGCTGTTACTGCTATTAGAGACCGGTGTGGTTGAAGCGGTTGAGCATCGTCGAAGAATATCTTATTTCGGGCTTACATCAGTCGATTGCATCAGCTTTCGCATGGACTATTGGCTAGTCATGGCCCAGTTCTCGATACTCTCGTGGGCTCCAGCGCCGTTTCAATAAGAAGAGGAAGATCCTCGCTCCATCTACGGTCTACAAACCTAACCTTAAAACGCTCGTCGGGATATACTGTTTACGTTACACAAAAGTGACTAACATTCTGCACAAGGTCCCCGTTGGGCTCGTCACAATGACGCACGAGGATTCGTGGGAGGCCGTGAAACAGGCGGCCGAGAAGAACCGGCACGAGTTGGTGCTGTCGGGCGCGTCGGTGTCCAAACTGATCGAGACGTCCGGCCTGGACAGGAACCTGTTCGACCTCCACGGCCTGAATTATCTCAGCATAACGCACACGCGTCTCCAGGAGGTGCCGGACGAGATCGAGAGGCTGGCGAACCTCGCGACTCTGGTGCTGCACTCGAACGAGATCGCCGAGCTGCCGCGTGCGATCGCCAAGCTGGCCAAGCTGAAGGTGCTCGACTGCTCGAGGAACAGGCTGGCCTCCCTGCCGGAAGAGCTCGGCGGCCACCCTCAGCTGTGCACGATGAATCTCGCCTCGAACCTCCTGCGGGACGTGCCGTCGTTTGGCTCGTGCACCAAACTGACCATTCTAGACCTGTCCAACAATCGGCTCGAGACCTTCCCCGACATCTGCCATGCGGAGCTCGCGCACCTGTCCGAGGTCCACTTCAACGGGAACCGGATAGCGGAGATTCCAGTTGCTATAAACCGACTGCAGGGACTGAAGGTCTTAAACCTGGCGGATAACCTGATCTCTGGTAATGCACAACTTTGCTTCTGTACCTTTGTATTATCCTTCGTTGAGTAGCCTTCCATAAATGCTTTTAAGTGCCGTCGAGCGTCCGGAGATGAGTAATGCATAATCGTATTATGACACGCAGTTGTGCCGAGCGAATTAGCAGATTGTAGTAAACTGAAGGAGGTGTATCTGAAAGGGAATAAATTGTCGGACAGGAGGCTGACCAAGTTGATCAACCAATGCTCCACGAAGCAAGTGCTCGATTACGTCAAGTCGCACTGCCCGAGGAGCCAGTCGTCCACGGCGGACGCCAACCCGCTGAGAAAGGGAAAGAAAGGCCAGAAAGTTTCCGAGGGTGAGAGTACGCCGGAGAGCCTGGCGCACAAATTGAGAGTCTTGAAGGTGGCGGACGACACGCCGGTGATAAAACTCATGGAGGATGTCAAGGTTATCAGGCCTTACATTGCCGCGTGTATCGTGAGAAATATGGGCTTCAATGAGGAGAGTTTCAAGAAGTTCATTCAGCTGCAGACGAGATTGCACGAGGGGATATGCGAGAGGAGGAACGCGGCTACGATAGCGACTCATGATTTGAGGCTCGTCGCGCCTGGTAAATGTCGAACGTATAATAAGAGTAAAGGAAGGTCCTCTATTATGGCGCGGGATTCTAATGCGAGATGGTAGATTTTCAACGTCCAAATTCAATCGCAAATCTTTCTTTCGCAACGATTACACGATCTAACAATAAATTTTCCACTAAACTGATTTCACTCCAAGGGCAACGGATTCATGCCGGAACCAACAGACGATGTCTATTAATTTAGCGCTCCGCTGTCTATAATAGGAGTCTCATGACACAGGGGACACCTCTACGTTATCTTTGTATCGATTTTTCTACTAAAACAATGTTGTACTCAGGGGACCTCACGTATACGACGAAGCTGCCCACGGAGCTGGAAATAAAGCCTCTGATGCGCAGCGAGGTGTGCACGGGCGCGGATCTGTTTCACAAGCTGCAAACGGAGGCGGAGAACCTACGCAAGGAGAAAAAGCGAAACGTGTATTCCGGGATACACAAGTATGTGTACCTACTGGAGGGCAAGTCTTCGTTTCCGTGTCTGTTGGATCAGTCGGAACAAGTTATCTCGTTTCCGCCCATTACGAATAGCGACGTGACGAAGATGTCCGCGTCCACCCAGGTGATGCTCGTGGAGGTGACGAGCGCCATTTCGTACACGGTTTGCAGGTGGGATTCCAATTTACGAGTCGGGCGGCGTTTCGGTCTCTTTCAAGTCTCCAATGAGTCGTTAGTCGTAATTGGAAGTCGAGACCATATGAAGTCAATCCTTTTTGGGCGAATCGACTAACAGCTCATTGTAGATCGGGCTCTAACCGTTAGAGAAGGTCGCTTCTGCAGCGATATCCTTTTGTTTTTAGGAATGTGCTGGACCAATTCCTGAAAGAATTAATAGTCGCGGGTCTCGCCGAGTCCGCAGAATCGAAGAATACGGACAACAGATGCAACAGTTTGACGGTTCAGCAAATCAAAGTGGTCGACACCCAAGGAAACCTAAAGCTGGTGTATCCCTCGAGAGCGGATTTGAATTTCAGCGAGCAGATCATCGTCGTGTCGCGAGAATACGGAGAGTAACTCGAATTCTGCCCGAATTCAGATCCGCGAGAAAGTTTAGTAGAGGTTCCTTTGTAAAAAGGAAGGTAAGGGAGAGGAGGGCAGATTCGCGAGAGTTTTTGTTTTTCTTTTTTGATTTGTTATTCGAGAGCGCGAGAGTTACCGAAGCGATCTTCCAAATTGCGTTTTTATCTTCTTCCGCGACGCGGAAGTGTCGAGATCGCTCTACTTCATCGCGTCGATTGGGGACGCTCGGCGACCGGATGCGGCGGTCGTCCGCGAACCTGAGTCTCGCGAAAGGGCGACACTGGCGGCGACTATGATAATGAACGGGATCAGTACGGGGATTCTGTAACTTGCTGTCGACGCTTTTCGGTATCGTTAACTAGCGGCAGTCAACGGTAAAGATGATCTTCGAGAAAGACACAGCTTTGCGTGAGTGGTTGCTAGTTAACGAAAAGCCTTGACAGCAAGTTAAAGAATTCTCGTACTGGTGCTCTATTCTGTCCTCGGTTACCAGCAAGTACAACGACGTTCGCTCAGCTTTTTTACACGATAGAAAAGCTGCGCAAATGTTGACGATATCGATATAGTTGTCGGTAGCCGAGTACAGAATTTAGTTAAGATCGATTAAGGACAAATTGAGTCAAGATCCAAGTTAAACGACGCTGATGGAAACCGGAGTAAACTGACCTGACTGCGCTCTCTCGGAGTCTGTCCCTCTCTTCCCGCGGTGGAGGGAAGAGGACGGACTCCGAGCCGGTGCAGCCAGTGCAGCTGGAGAGAACAGACGCGCGGTGGCGCTGGCGAATCGCGCCGGTCCGCAGACCCGAATCCTCGTTCGTTCTTATGTTCTTATAAATATTGCGCCGCGCATCCGCGACACCGCACGTTCGTCGACCGACACCCTCCGCGTCTGCGTGGGCCGTGCGCCGCCGGTAACTCGCTCCTCGCGGTGCCCCGACAAGAGACGAAGGCGCCCCGGGCCCCGGCCCGAGTTCGCCAAACTCTTTTTTTTCCCCCCTCGACTTGCGCGAGTGTTTGAAGTGATAATATGGCGCCGAAATTGCGACTGGTCACGTCGGGACGGCGCTTTTGAGGTTAGTATTCTTCCCCTCGTTTCTCCCGCCGCCGGTGCAATCGCCGCGCCTTGTTGTCTGCGGGCCGAGTTTCTCCGGCCCGCCAAATTTCTCGCCCTCCCCCGCGCACGCCTCGGGGGGGGGGGGGGTTAAACCTGTTCTACAACGTGTTCCTTGCGTCTAGAAACATTGTTTTGCAGCTAATAAATGAGTTTGAAAAAATTCGTGCCAGTTGGCAAATTGCACGTTGTACAATCGTGTGTTATCGGCGAATTTTTTGAGCGTTTTGATTTGCTCGCTTAGAATGTTTCGAGGCGCGCAACCGCGGAGAGGGGAGGGAACGACGATTGCGCGCGCGCGCGAAACTATCTGTCACGTTTTATAATTAACAACGTTGTTTTTGCGCCCCCGTCTCGCGCGTCATCGGGTCTGTTTGTGTTTGTTCGCCGACACTTTTTGCGCTTGGAATCTTCGTTTTGTCCCCCTCCCCGACGCCCGGTGGTACATTCGTCTCGTTCCGGGCGCAAAAACTTTCCGGGACCTCGGGCGAGACCCGTTGTTTCGGGTCCTCCGCGCGCGGAATTACGAAGCGTATTCGGGTCTTCACGACGTATCAGTTTTGCGCACCTCTCTCTCTCCTCATTTTTCCCTTTACGTCAGATTAAGAGCGACACTTTTTTTCTTTTATTTCTCTCTCTCTCTCTCGACGTATAACACTTTTACTTTATACTTAACAGATTTGCATTAATTTTATTGGGAAGCTGTTGCGCTGTGCGCAGTGGTTTTTTTTTTAAACCCGTTCAACAATAGCTGCGTTCGGCATTGCAAATCTGAGATGTCTGAAGAGTGCTCTCTTGCGTTAGAGTGAGCGAGAGAGGAGAATAAGGGAGGAAGAGCACTCCGACGTCTCGAATTTGCAAAGCCGAACGCAGCTAATGTAGTTCTTTGCGTCTAGAAACGTTATACTTTGTAGCTAATAAATAAGTTTAAAAAGATCCGCGCGAGCTGGTAAATTGTACATTATACATTGTACAATCGTACGTTATTGACGAATTTCTTAAACGTTTTGATTTGCTCGTGTAAAATGTTTCCAGGCGCGCAAAGAGCACATTGTGAATTAGGCTTTGTGTTTGTCGCGACGCAAATGAAGTAGAGAGAGAGAGAGAGAGAGAGCTGATGTATAATTTTCGTGTACATAAATATACCTCATTTCTATGTACATGTTAACTAAAACATTCATAGAACTTGATGCAATAAATGGCGGCATGGAGATCCTAAAGTTGCGGTTTATTCGACACATTGTGACAAATTGGAATCATTCTTGCTACACGTGCGTTGGCTACACGAAGAAACATGCTAGGTCCTTTTAAATCCGTCTACCGGAGAGATATAAAAAAATACAGAGGTTATCCTATAATTCCTACGTATCGAGGATCCCGGAAAAAAAAACGACGTCGATAATCCACCGTTTTGGTGTAATAAATGCTGGAAAACGATACGCTAAGTAAAGGCCTTCACACATAAAATTCCGTAAGGACGTAAAACGTAAGCGTAAGAAAATCAACAGGTTGGATTTGCTACTGCTTGCGTCATTGCCTTACGTTCTCGACTGTGATTGGTCGATTTTCTTATGCTTACGTTTTACGTCCTTACGGAATTTTATGTGTGAAGGCCTTAACAGTTCTGTGTAACATAACACTATGTTACCGTAGTGCAACTAGTACGTTCACTCTCTGTCGGCCCTTTGATCTTTTCGGTCCCGACCACGTGGTGTTCCGCCATTATTTTGGGCAGCGATCCAGCGGCGTATGTCCGTGTACGTACTGTAGTTGTCTGCGGTAGTGTATCAAAGTTACACCACCGCACACACAACTTTTCTCCCGTTGATCTGCCCACAATGTCGGACGCGCAGAAGGGATCGACGTAAAGCGAAAGAAATGACGAAGCAAACCTACTAGTTATACGATGGTAGCTACGGTTAAGCTGTCGCCTCAAATGTTTCAAAGTATTCTTCGCCTTTCTTTCAGCAAAGATAGAAGAGGAGAAACACTTGGAAGCACTTGTAGCGGCGGCTTGACCGCAACCGATACCACGTTAACGAAGTATCCTGGTCATTGTCGCTATTCGTAGGTGCTTTGGAAATAAACTCCTTCCTCGCGAAAGGAAAAAAATATACTTTACATACATTCTAATACACGAGTAGGGGAGTTTGGCCATTCGCCTTCAGACTAATCCCAAGTGAATGGCAAGGGTCTATTCGGACAAACTTGCACAGGCGTATAAACGTATGCATAAAAAAATCGATTGGTCTATTTATGCATACGTTTATGCGCTATGCAAGTTTGTCTGGATAGACCCTGCTTATGTATGCATCGAATATCGACCGAGAGTTAAAATAGAGACGTCTTTTGACCACGCATCTTTAAACATACATTCCCCCCGCTTTTTAAAAATATATATATGTCTGGAAGTATGTAAACATGCGTGTGTCCGGCGTGTATAGAATAGGAAGATTTGTGGATCACATTCAGTTTGACTAGCAGATAACGCGTCGAACGGGAAAGACAGAGAGCGGGTGATTTAGTTCACTTTGAGCCGCTCCTGGCGTTCCTTGACGTCGATGATGCTGAGATTGATGCACGCCACGTATCCGTGCAGCACCGAGATGGCGGCCTTGACGAGCGCCACCGGGGCGCTCAGGTACACGATCAGCCTGTACAGACCTACACCGGCGACTGCAATGCGAAAGCGCGTCGATTATTCGCCCGCGCGAGGAGACGAACGCGAAGGCTACTTACAAATCGGTCCTTCGGTGAAGTGCAGCAGGTACAGACCGGCGTAGAACGCCTCGTTGCCGGCGCACATGAAGAACAGCACCAGCCGGTTCGTGTAGTACAGCCTCATGATCGGATTCTCGGACATGTCGATGAACTTGTGGCTGGTCTTCCCTTGCAGCAGGGTCCTGTTGTGTATCGACAAGGCAACGGCGTGTAATCGCGTCATATTCCCTCTTCAGATTGCGTGTATTCACACCGGTAGACACACCGGTATTCATAGATCATCTCGAGTAATATCGTAAGACGCTAATGTACAGCTTTGTCATTGGTTTATAATATAATGGTTTAAGATTGTACTCGGGACGATTCTTAAATATAAGAACAAACTACGAATACCAGCCATAGTGCTTATATTTGAGAGTATTTTAAATCTTAAGTTGTTATAAGCCAAGGACGATATTCGTAGTCAGACCTACAGTTTTCGTCGTAAGATCCGTCTTTAGATATTACGTAGCCAATAAAATGTCCCATACAGAGATAAACTTGGAAAATTAACTTAAGATTTGACCAATATGAGCGCCAGCCATAGTCAGACTTTATATTTAAGATCGTCTCGAGATCATCTTCAGATATTCCGTAGCCATTGAAAGGTTCCATACAAAGATAAACTTTAGACGGTTCTAACAGTAAGATTTGACTGATGTGAATACCAGCCATAGTCAGATTTTATATTTAAGATCATCCTTAGCCAATGAAATGGTTCATGCAGCATCTTTAAATAAACTCAAGACTTGAATATAAGTTCTGAGAGCCACATTAGCATCTCGGGGCATTACTTGAGGCGATCTGGAGATAAGACTGTGAATACCAGCCGACAATAATACGTTGTCTCTTACGTGTGCAAATATATCCAGTGGCAGGCGATGTCGATAGCCATGCTCAGCTGAAACCAGAAGGTGTAGGCGGGATAGAACAGACACAGCGTGACCATGAGGCACATAGTGCCGATCCTGTCCGTCAGCTGGTCCAGAATCGCGCCGAACTTGGTGCTCTGGTTGTAATACCTGGCCGCGTGGCCGTCAATCGCGTCCAGCAGCGAGCTGACCACGTAACACCACGACGCGACGACATGGTTCGTGGGCATGAAGTAAAAGGAGATCAGCGCCAGGATCACCCTGCCGAAACCTGTTGGAGCGCACAACTAATTACATTTCTTCTCGTGTGTGATCAGACGAATGTAGTTGTCATTGCGACTGTTGAAATGTCAAGTCCAAAGCGGGGAGCGCACACTTTTGCACAAGTGCGTAAGGAATTTGATTGGTTCATCTCCTTGTGCATCTGCTTGTGGACCAATCGATGTCTTTATGCAAACGCTTATGCTCTTATGCCAAAGTGTGTGCTTCCCGCTTAAGGGTCCATCCAGGGCGAACTTGCACAGTAGACCGATCAATTTCTTCCCAGATATCTGTCGGAACAGATTTCGTCGAATGCCCACTACAAATTTTGAAGGCAGAAAGACTGCAAAGACAGAAACTGATGATATTCGACATGTTGCCAGCATGTCGGCAGAAATGCAACAAAATCTGCCCACGTAACTGGACCTGCTCGGTTTCTGCCGACAATCTGTTCGCGGCGTATGTTTTACAGACTCAGTTGCCGAAACAAAAGCCAAAAGCATAGATGGCTATGGTTTTGGTGTGGGCTTCCGATGAATTTGCTGCCAATCTGCTAACATTTTGCTGACTGGTTTTACGCATACGCTATGCAAATTTGTCCGGACGGACCCTTACTCCGGTTTTCACCGACGCCGTTTACCTCGATCTTTGTTTAAATCATCCTTCGTCTCTTTCTAGAGGGACACTTGGAAAGAAACAAAAGACGATCCGAGCCAATTGTGAGATCGCAGTTAAACGACGTTGGTGAAAAGCGTGGCAGGAAAAGAAACTGCGCTCTGAAAGGCTCGCGTTTGTTATTGGCAGGCCGGCTGATACGGGCGTTACATAAAACAATAGGCGCGCCGACTCAATCAATAGCGGGCAGCCTTAAAAGCGCCGCGCGAATTTATATACGCGGCTCGTCTCAGCGAATTCCATTCCCCGAATTGCGCATCGAATCACGCGGAGCGAATCGAGGGGAAAAATCCGGTTTCGCGGCCACCACGCGCGCCCCGGCCAATTGAATTTTGGCGGGCGTATCGATATGTGCCCGGTCATACTGCGCGCTACGTGTCGCGGGACGCGGTGGTTCGTGGCACCGACGACGCTCCGCTCGCCGCGGCGCAATTCGCTCTCCTCGCCCTCCCCCCGAGATTAGATTATTTACCGATGATATTCGGCACGAACAGAAAGATATTCTCCGGCTCCGTCATCTCGGCGTCGGCTCCGGCGTGGATTCTCGCCCCGCGGGGACAACTGGGCCGCGAGATAACTGGCGGGATAAATGGCTTATCCGAGACCGCCGGCGCGGCAGCGGTCAGGGATTATCTCGGCGCGGCTCGCGCGGCGTCCGCGAGCGCGCGCTCTGCGTACTTCACTCGGGACTGCGAATGCACGCGCGTCGGTCGGCTCTCCTCTTCGTCGGCGTCGCGCTGCGTCGTGCGTGCGCGCGGATGCGGCTCTGGCGGGCGAAAGAGAGAAGGAGCGGGCGGCCGAGTCGGCGTCGAGCGGCGATCTCGTATCCGCGCGAGACTTCGAGATGTATCGACCTGCGGTGACGCCTGCACCGAAGACCCACGCCCGTAGCCGGTCCCGCTCGCGCCCCGCGCGAGTTCTCCTCGGGATCCGCCCTGCGTTCTCCGTATTTTCTTCAGGATTCTTTTCAGTTTGTCAAACGATCTCGTTCGCGTGAACGTAACTGTCCGATGTTAACTTTTATTTCATTAAGAACCGGTAAGATCAGTTTATCGCGAGAACGATTAGAAATCTCGTTGGAGCTATAGGTTTGTTCGTGTTGCTTGCACTTGCTGCACTTGGAACCTTCGCGTTCTTTCTCCCCAACGCCCGGTGTACGTCCGTTTCTTTTTAAAGTGCAGGAATTTCGGGGGATTTCATTCAGTCTCGACATCGCTTCGCACGGCGGAGAGAGCGAAACCAGGGGTCAATTCTATGTCTTACGATATAGTGAAAATTTATTAAAAGATCGCCTTTTCTAATTTAATCCTGGCATACATATCGATCCTGATTCACATTATTGTTTATTTAAAAAACTTGGCGCTGCTAAGCCGCTGAAATGTACAAACTTACAATTAATTCTAATCCCTAATTCCTAACCCACACGCGTACGCGTACATTATTTCCTTTATTTCTTCCGATACAATTTTGTATAATTGTATAAATATTCAGTCTAGTTGGCGCCATTTGATGATATAATTACTTTTGTAGAGAGGATACTTGGGAGGGAAGATAAAAATGTTTCTTTTTCTAATGAAAGATATCCAAATAATTAAATTGTAGTGAAAATAAGTAAAGGTGAGCGGCTTTGTCTCTTTTCAAGGAGACGGGGCTATTCGCTTCCAGCATTTTCACTGCAGTATAGCGAAGTGCAGGGTACAGAACCGACACCCTACGAGGCGCAGCGGCGCCGGGCGCGCCGTCGGGCGGGTACGCGGCTGCGCGCGCCAGACGACATTTTCGGAGGGCACTGAGCGGCTGGTCCGCCGCCGTTTTCTCTGCGCAAAAGCGAGGGACTCCGCTTCTTCACAGTGTCGCGACGGGGAAAGTGTTCAAGTCCGCTGCAAAGCGGCGGTCCGGCCCTCGGCGCTTTCTCCCGGTGATAATCCGGTTCGCGCGTGCGGACGGCGTCCCCGGGGCTCTGTGCGGAGGATCGTCCCTCGCGCGAGGCTCCTCGGAGTGGACCTGCCTGCCGACGATCGGCGGCTCCGCCTCGCCTCGCCTCGCCGATTGTCGTCGCCGTCGCCGTCGTCGTCGTCGACGTCTCGCGTCTCGCTCGAAGACGCCGCCCCGGGAAGAGGCGATGTCGCGCGATCGATAACCAGATCTCGGGACGACGAGGGCAAATCGCGACGTCGCGCGGGACCCGACTCCCAGCCCGCGGCGGTAATTCCCGGCTCCCGTCGTGCTCTCATCGGATCATTCCGCGCGGCCCTGACGACGGCACCTGCCATGCCGACCGCGTCCGCGCCGTGAGGCTCGGTGGGATCGCGACGCCGCGCGCCGAGCGGATCGCGATGGCGAGTTGTCGCCGTTTGCCGCGCGGCCACCGAGGAAAATAAGGCGACGGGAAATCGAGGAGGAGGAGGAGGAGGAGGCGCGTGTACGTGGTGTGTGCGCGCGCGCGCCACTGTGTGCCGTGTGGTGTACGTGGCCCCGTGAGAGGAGGGAGCGTCGGCAAGGCGCTCGTGTAGCGTTTCACCCCCGCGAGGACGTCCTCGCGGATGGACTCTCTTTCCCTTGGCCGTGCCGCGCGTACGGACGGACAGCGGGACGGAGGGGCGGACGCGTGCATGCGTGCGTGCGTGCCTCTGCGTGCATTCATTCGCGTCGGCCCTGCGCAGGCGGCGGCGACGGCGGCCATTTTGAATCGATGAGTGCTCTCGCCGCGGCGGCGAGTATCAACACCATCGCCGCGACGCAACGCCGAAATCGGACCGTCTCCCGCCGCGCCGCGCGCCGCCGTGCCTCGAGGAGGACGACGACGCTGCCGCGCCTACCCGCGACCGCCCGTGTCCGCGCGATGATCGCGCTGACGACGACGACGACGCCGCCGCTCGGCCGTCACCGTCGCCGTCGCGCTTAGAAATGGTACTGTCCAGCCGGGCCTTCCACCTGCGGGAGGGAACGCCGACGAGCGCGGCAGCGACACCGGATAGGCCCCGACCGATCCCCGGGTGAGCCGCACTTCTGAGAAGCCGGACTGTCGACGCGCGACGACGTTACCGGAGCGGACCAAGAGGAGAGCAGCAGCAGCGGAAGAAGGAGGCGAGTGGCTGCGCGCGGTCGAATCCACCCGCTGGCGACGCGTCGATCCTTGAAATTTGACATGTGACCGCCAGAGCGGTGTCGCGTTTACGTAAGTTGCCCTGCCGCACGGACGATCGTACCCGCGAGGGAACGCCGTACCCCGAGTGCCGCGCCGCGCCGTGAGGCGAGTGGTCTCGGCCCCGCGCCGCGCCAATCTTGACGGTTTTCGGCGACGAGGGGCGAGAGAGAGAGAGAGAGGAGAGGAGTGACATCGCCCGCAACGGTCGGGACGCTCCGCGAGAGGCCCGTCCTTCCGCCCCGGCCCGTCGCGATCGATGACGTCGTCGCGCGAGGGACAGCTGTGTCGCCGCGACAGTTGACAGCCCGCTCGGCCCGGGGCTAACCTCAAACTCGCGCGCGCGTGCGCGCGCGCGCGAGGTCGGCCGTGTCGCGGTCCGCGCGGGCCGACGAGCGTCGTGTGGATCTCTTCCGCGGACGGGACGCGCGCCCCGAGTGATACTCCGCCGAGTGAAACGGAGCAGGAGGAGGAGGAGTAGGAGTAGGAGGATCAATCTCCCCCGAGGAACCACGGGGCCATCTTTCCCGTCGCGTGCGTGCGCGCGCGCCTCAAGCGCCCGGAATCGGGCTCTCGAAACCTTCCTGGATCTCGATCGCACCGAGGGCCTCTCTCTCGTCCTCTTCTAGGCTGGCGAGCCTCTGAGTTAACCGAGTCCCAGACTCGTCTTTCTCCCGGTCGACACCTGGACCCGCTTGGTCCTTCGCCGGGTCGCGATTGCGCTCTCCATAATCGTGAAACGAGGGAAAAGAGAGCGGAGTAAATTCGACCTGAACAACTAAGAAGAAGCCCGGTGCGACCGGTTCGGATTCGACGTCGTCGTCGACGCCGTCCGAGCCCTGCGTCTAAGCGTTGCCCAGCGCCAGCGTCTTCAATGCGGCACGGATCGTTGGCGAGCGCGCGAACGGTCCTTTTGAGGCTCGATGGCCCTTGAGGGATAGAGAGAAGGGACAAAAGATGACGTGGGAGCCATGAGCACGGCGGACACCGCGCTGTCAATCTCGATCAAGATGGCCCCGGGGCCGGAGCACCGTCAGGAACCGGTAGCGCCTGACAAAATCGCCGAGAGCGATCGCGCCGCCGACGCCGACGCCGACACCGACGCCGCCACCTCCGTCGTCGCCGCCGCCGCCGCCGCCGCCGATGTTGTTATCGATATAGAGAACGTCAACGCTACACTAACGACCGGTAGCAGCAGCAGCAACAACGACAACGACGACGACTCCGTCGCCGTCGCCGTCGCCGCCGCCGCGGAGCAAAGTTCGAACGTCGAGGTCGCTCCGGCTAGTCTTGCCGCTGGCGCCGGCGATTCGATCAGCCAGAGCTCGCCGCCGAACAGCGGCGCCGACAGCAAACAGGTGAGCATCGTCGAGGAAGCGCCGGCAGTCCTCGAGAAAGAACCCTTTCTCCCTTCCTGCCTCTATTCAAAGCTGCCGCGGGCGCTTTTTCTGCACGAGGAGCACGCAGGACGGAGACCTGGCCGGTCTTCGCAATTACGGCATCCGAGACCTTTGTCTCTCGCCCTTTCGCTCATCTCGTCGGGAAAGTTATTTCTGTTGTCTGGAAATAACGTCCGAGTCACGGGGAAACGACGCATTGATACCCGATTCTCCGCCGCTCCGATTTCTCCTCCGCCCTGAAATACGAAAGAACGTGATCTAGCGCTAGGCCCGTGCACAAGTTCGTAAGGTTTTTTTACTTTCTGGCGAACTTAGACCTGTAAAAATAGCCTGCAACATTCTTTACTCGAGATCATTTCCATCGTTCTCGGTAACTCACTGCCAACGTTCCGGCCGCGAATGGATGCCACGGTCGCCTTGAGGCGAAGAAGTCATCGATCCAGTTCTCGTCAAAATCGAAGTTGCCATCCCGGAAACGCCCGCACTTACCACTTTTCGCACGTGCTCACTGACGCAACTCCCTCGCCGTATGTCTCGCACGGAACTTCTTTGGCTTCCACCGGGCCGCGTTCGACAACGTCGCCCGAGTGCCCTGTGTATCGTTTTATCCTTGTTAGCCGTACGTTAAACAAGAATAAAACGATGCCTAGGTGGGCGATGTCGAACGCAGCCCCGCGGTCTCTTCTTCGGTTCGCGTACGCTGGCGAACGCGGGCTTTCGTCTGAAAACGAGTGCGAGACGACGACTGAAGGAGCGAGACTCCAAATTTTCCTCACGCGTCGCCGACTGAGTCACGCAAACGGCGCAGAGCACGATCAAATTTCCAAAATGTTTGTACCGCGAATCCGACCGCACGGACTGTGCGCAGACCTGGATATCTCACCATTTGTTTCACTGTGATGTTCAACGAATCAGAGAAAAGTCCCCTATTATGAGACAGGGTTTGTACTGAATTAATAGACATCGTCTGTTGGTCCCACCATGAATGAATTCATTGTTAGATTGTGTAACCACCGCGGAAGAAGATTGTGATTGAATTTGGATGTCAAAAACCTGCTATCTTAGGGGACTTTCCTTTCTATATATATACAAATCATCAGGGTTGGGAAGTAACTCGTTACTTGTAACAAAGTTACAGGTACTTTTTTCTGTAATTTTAACTTAACTTCGTTACTTTCTCTCCATCTGTAACTGTAACTTAACTCAGTTACATTTTTTCGATAACTAATTTAATAGTAACATTAATAGTTGCTTTATATACTTTTTAAACCTCTACAGATCGCATTAGGTCTTGCATTTGCGCATAAACGCTATTATCGACACTTTGCAATTCAAACGCAGACTTGATATCTTTATTTTCAACATCAGTGATTTTTATTGACCGTATCTGGCAATTTTTATAATACCGAAAATTTATTGCCTCAGCCTCAGGGTTTGAACCTGGACCTCCCTTCTCTCTAGGCGGGCGTCTCAACCAATTCGACCACCGAGGCGTATAAATCTTAATTTTCGTTGCGAGAAAATCACTGCGAAGTAACGATTCGTTACTTTTTTGGTAACTGTAACCGTGACAAATTACATTTTTACCGAAAAGAAGTGTAACTGTAACTGGACACTTTTATAAAGTAACTTTCCCAACCCTGCAAATTAAACACAAGCTCTGATTAAAGAGCGGCCAGGCGTTCGATTGACTCGCCAGGTCCTGGCGCCAATATCGAATCGCGATCGGTTTTCGCTCGCGTCGAGAATTACTTCGGTCTATATTTAGTAAAATCGGATTGTCTCCCTCGTCGCCGGCATTCTTCTCGCTTCTTCCAAGCTGGAGTATCGGGGCGTATCGATATCGCGACGCGACAAGAGCGGGTTTATCTCAAGACGGCGCGCAAAGATTTCGTACACGCTATATTTATCCCCCCCTTGTTTCAATGCAACGGCAAATTCGCGCGTTCGTCGCCGCGATCTCGGGATCCGCGGATCGCGTCGAAAGGTGATGGGTCGTCATCTGTCTTTTTTTTTCCCTTTCCCCTCTCGCTCTCCGCTAGAGAAGTTCGCGCGGATCTCTATCGCGGTTTGAGGCAACGCATTCCGGAGGTTACGCTCCTGAAATGGCCGTGCCTGGCCCTCGATAGAGCGAGGCCGTGTCGCGCTAATACGTTCCCAATACCCCTTTTCGGCGTTTTCGTTTAGCTCGCGCGATTTTCCTTCGGGCGAGCTGATCGAGGCGCGAGCCCAATCCTCCCTGCCGATCGGCGCCGCGCCGATTCTCGACTTCGCGAGTATTGCGTAATAACAATCTGGTGATCCGAAGGGGGGAGGGGCTGTCGCGTGCCGAATTTACGCGAAATCGATAGAGTGGCCGTGGCGGTAGATCGAGGGCCAAATTATGCCGAGGGTCGCGAGAGAGAGAGAGAGAGAGAGAGGGGGGGGGGAACGAGGAATTAATGTACAGATCCATCTCGCAAATTGCACGTCTCGCGATTTGCATACCGGGTATAAATATTTATTACCGTTAAACGTTTCCATTTTATTTATGACTAATAACACCGTCGGAAAGGAGCATTGTCATGTTTTCCCCCCTCAACGAGATTACTCATCTCTTCCTCGGCTCGCTAATTGCAGCCTCGTTGTTTCCACCTTGTTTCCATTTACCCACCCGCCTCTCATTTCCCCCCCTCGTTGTCCGCCGGGCTCCTTTCCCGCCTGTCGTTTTCGTCTTTATCGAGAGAGATAAGGGCCACGCGAGAGCTCGCGACGCGTTGCGCGATGCGATCAGCTGATCGTGAGTCAAGATCGACTTTTCATCCTCCTGCGAGTTACGTAATCGCGATCGTCGTAAACTTCGATCCTACGATTAATGAAATTACCGGGTAAGGCTAGATTTTGGACCAGAACGAAACCAAGCTCGGATAAGACTACGCGTTTTAATTAATCAACCAATTCCGCTCCTTTTTTCCTCCCATTCGTTCGATCGTGCATGGCTCGAAGCGCGATACGCATTTTTTTTGTTTTCGTTTTAATCAAGCTCGTCCGTTTCTCTCCTCCGATCGAAAAATCCGCTCTCTCGCCGCTCGGTTTCAGTCTCATGTAAATGCGCTCCCGTAACGCGAGGCTTATTATTACCAGCTGATGGTGGGCGTTATCGCGCGACGCTTGTAAACCAATTACCATTATCTCTATGCTCGTGGAAGGTGAGTCGCGACGTCGACTCCGCGAGCCTTCCGCTGCCCCCTCCGCGAATTTGCGGATCTTCGGCTGCCACGTGCGAACGCGCCTTGTCGTGCCGAGAAGGACGTCGGCTCGCGAAAAAAAAAGAGAAAAAACAGCGCGGCCTAATATCGGCCGCGAACGCGCGCACGTTCTCGGGACGTGGCGATTAGAACTGGAACTCCGTATACGGCGCGACCGCCGTGTCCGATCCACAGACTTCTATATACTACTAGACTGCTAGCTTCGAGCTAAAAAGCGAGGCAAGAGCACCGCCATATCCTGTTAGGTAAATCAAGTAGTAGAGGACGGTCCTCTATTATGAGATAGGCTCCTGATGCGAGATAGAGGAGTTTCTGCTAAATTGATGAGCATCATCTGTTGGTCCCACCGTGAATTTATTGCTCTTGGAGGGAGGTCTGTTTGGTGGAAAATTCATTGTCCGATTGTGCAATCGTTGCGAAAAAAAGATTTGTGATTGAATTTGGGTTGTTGAAAACCTGCTACCTCGTTAGAAAGCCGAGGGGGAAACCGCTGAGGGCATTATGGTGTACAGATTTGCGGCATTCCTGGGCATTACTAGGCATTACTAGGCATTTTTGGGGGATTACTTTGGGCATTAGGCCTTGCTGGGGCATTATAAAGATATAATAAGGTAAAGTAATGCCCACTGGGCATTAGTGGGCATTGGTGTACAAGATTTTGATCAGCGGTTTCCCCCTCGTAGAAAGCTATCTCATAATAGAGGACTTTCCTATAGGTATAGAAGTCTGTGGCGACGGATCCCCGAAATCGGCGTTGCGACCGGGGATGCCCGTGGCTTCTACTAAAGACCCTGTAATCAGGGACTGGCCATAAGAGTTCGTCAAATTCCCGCGAGTGAGAGAGAAACGTAGGCTCTCTTACTCTCCTGCGATCGTAGAATCGCGGGAAATTGACGAACTCTTATGGCCAGTCTCTGATTACAGGGTCTCTAGTCGCGAGTGCGAAAAATCCCGAGTGGCGGACAGTTTCCATTGCGCAAAGTTCATCGCCGTCTGGAGAACAATCGCGCCTCACGAGTCGAAATTTTGGCCCTACGTTGAACCTTCAATTCTATTATATAGCAGGACCTAAGACAGTAAAAGAGGTCGAACTGCAAGTACAAAATTTACTCCTACTCTAAAATTGATAGTGTCGGAAATTCTGCTTTTGCCAATTTAGCATTAAAGTAGGCCCTTTTAAGCTATCAAAGTAGGTTATTGCCGAAAGTGCAGAATCACCCAGCATCCCCTTAAGGATGTTCAGTTTTTGAATTGATATTGGGAATTGAACAGAAATCTTGTTGAATTCGCAATAAACGGCAAAAAAACGGATTGTTCGCACGCGCGTGCTTACGAAAAACCTGCGGAGTCCTTCCAGCAATCGCGAGTTGTAAGAATGTTAATTTGCAACGGAATTACCCGCGCGGCTATGAAAAATGTATGACCGCGTTGATTCGAACGGCGATTCGACGGACGAGAAAATTAAAAATACATTTGTGCATTCCGGCCGTGAATAAATAATGATATTCCACGCGGACTGTATGGGAGAAGCATATTGTTCGAATTTCAGCTACTTTTCGCTGCGTACGGAACGTCCTTAAAAAACACTCGAGTACTCGGATGCTTAAAAACAAAATATGTACGTGCCGCAACACGGTCAGGAGCCCGCGTGAATGACGGGGCTTTGTTGGGCGGAAAAAAAAAAGAAGAATGGACGCAACGGGGCGGGCTACATCGCGCCGGAGGGCATGACGCGGCGAAAAAGCTCGGCGCTTTTCATTATTTTGGATTCCACTCCGGGCGCGAACACACTCCGGCGAGGGGATAATCCGACGTGATTCATCGACGCGATAAACCGCGGTGCCGCGGAGCGCCCGTTCGCGGCCGCGTCGCGCCGTTATTATTTTTCGGGCCCGCGCGTGTTCCGCGCTGACCGCCGAAGTCATGTGCGGCACGGCGAGCGCGTCCTTGCACACATCTCTGACACCGATGATGGATGGCTTTATCGAGTCTCGCCCTCCGCGTCGCACGCGCGGGGCACCGCGCGGCGAACGCGACGTCCGTGCGTCGGGCCCGCGGACACACGCACGCGACGCGGCGTTGCGATTCCGCCGGGCTGATATCGGGAGGCGATCTCTCCGGAGGAGAGGAGGACGCGCGTTCCCTCGCGATCTCGTCGCGGAGTACGTCGGGAGGGCCGACTCTTGCCCGGTTTCTCAATCCCGGACGGTGGCCGCGTGCACGCACCGCGTACGTGGTACGTACACGCGCGATCCTCTGAAACGGAGAACTCGCGGCGGAGTACGCACGCGTGGCATCGTCGCGAGCGAGCGAGAGAGCGTGTGTGCCGTGACAAATCAGATTTCGCCGCCGCGGACGCATGAGAACGGTCACCTACGTGTTTCGCCCGCGCGAGACCGCGGGGGCCGTGGGCGTCCCGGGATTTATTTTCCTCGCCCGAGCGCGCGCGTGCCGATCTCCCGAAATCCTCGCGTTGGAAATCGAGATGATCGAAACGCACGCTCATTGTTTTTCCCCTCGGTTTTCCTTTGTCTCCGCTCGCGAATTATCGACGGGGGCGCGACGGAGGAGGGACAGAGACAGAGAGAACGAACGAAAAGGAGCGGAACGAGAGCTATTTCGGGGAAGCCGCGTGGCGCCCCCCCGGCCTTCGTACGCCCCTGGGCCGAGCCGTGCTCTCAGTGTAATGGCGGCGGCCATGCTGGGAAGAGCGCGCCGCGCCCGCTCGTTGCAGTAGCTTTCAAAAACCGGGATCCGCCGTATCTGCCGACGACGACGACGACGACGATACAACGACGTTGCTCCTCCGTTCGCCGAGACCGACGACGCCGCCCGTGCACGTAGCCCGGCGAGCCCCATCCACGGGCTCCGGGATGCGCGACGTTCGTCTGCTCGCGTGTTGAAAAAGCGGCGGCGGCGGCGGCGGCGGTGGCGGCGGTGGCGGCGGTACGACCGCGAAGTCGACCAAGTCGCGAAAGTGCGGATCTCGAAGCGAGCGAGCGAACCCGGCCGTCCGTGTATCCTCTAAAAATACGAGTTCCGTGCCGGCATTGCCCAGCGAATCTTTTCTCCATCGCCTTCCGTCGTAAGTCTCACCCCGATATCGCTCTATCTCTCTCTCTCTCTCTCTCTCTCTCTCTCTCTCTCTCTGTGTCTCTCTCTTTCTCCTTTCTCTCCCGTCTGTTCCTCGCGGCTCGCGTCTTAATTAGCTAATCGCCGGAGCGGTATCGATCTCACGAGCGGCCCGTGGATCGGACTCCGCGTTTTCCGCACCGTCCCCGACGACCGCGGCCGCCGATTCACGCAGCCGAATCGGCTCGTCGATCGTTCTCCGTCCTCGTCCGTACGTCCGTTTCTCTCTCTCTCTCTCCCCCCTCCCCTCTCCCTCCCGCGCACACCCCGCGTAAGAAATTGGGACTCCGTGACGATTCTCGTCATGTCATTGAACGTTCGGCGAGTTCGCCGAACCAACGTTGTACCGTCGGCCCCCCCGGGGTCGCCCCGCGCCTCCCTTGTTTCCACTCGCCCGCCCCTCCGTCTCGCCCCGCCGTCGCCGTCTTCGCGTTTTCGCCTTTTCGACGCCCCGGCGGCCCGTCCGTTCCCGTCCCTCTTCCTCGGACACTATCAGATTTCCCGTGCGCCGGGAACGAGAGACGTGGACTCGCGCGTGTCGCCTACGGGGCGCTCGTGAGTGCGTGCGCTTTTTTTTCTCTGTATGTTTTTTTCGCGCCCGGTGTAAAGTGCGCCGGACGAAATCTGGATTCTCGGCGCCGCGCGCGCGACGATAATGAGCTCGCGGCGTATCTCGGGGCGGGATGGGGGGGAGGGGGGCATTTTATTTTCGACGACCGTCGGCCGCGCGCGACGAGCTCTCGCGTCCCCGTGTACGAGTCCGTTTCGTCCGCTCTGCGCTCGCGGGCGAGCTAGTTGGGTTATGTCGGCGCGTCGAGCCCCGAGAATCCAAGTAGATTGTTTTCGTCGAGCGAATTTGGAGACTGCGCCGGAACGCGCGTGTGCGTATGCGTATGCGTATGTGTGTGTGTGTGTATCTTGGAAAGATATAGGTATCTTTTTTTTTATGCCTTACAATGCGGTCGCCGTAAGCCTCGCGCAGATCCAATAAGAGAAACCTTAAATTCACTCTCTAGGGATCCACCAACACACCCGCTCTTATCCAGCTCGCACGCCAACTAATTCCTATCGCAAAACTGTTTGCGACAGTGTAGATAATGCATATTTTTCGCCGTGTATCTCCCGTTGCAATTAAGAACGTGGATACCGGACGGGCGATATTGTTGAAATGGGGCCCGTACTCGGAATCCCCTTTCGTCAATAGAGGCGCCTCCGAGGCCCGGGTTTACCATTTCCTGGCTGACCAGAAGTCGGTCGACCCTCCGTCCCTCTCTGCGCGATCCGAGAAGAGACGGAGAGCCGACTAACCTCTGGTTGACAATGCCGGAAAATGGAAAAACCGGGCCCGAAAGTGGCTAACGAGTCTCCGAGGGCTCGATCGTGAATCCTTTCCTCCAGCGTGAACTCGTGAAAAGTGAGAAATTTCATTGGCGAATATTGATTTCCCCGATGAAATTCTCCCCCAAGTTCACGCTGGAGGAAAGGATTCCCGATTGGCTGCGAGTCACTTTTAGAGTTGCCTGTGTCGATAAAAGGAGGGCTCGGAGTACGGGCCGTGGTAGAGAGTCTTGGAGAGAACCACGGGAACCTCACGTTTGTTGAAAATATGCCTCCGAACCAGGATAAATTAGGAGAACGCTGCGGGAGTGTAAATCGTTACGGTGCCGGTTTTCCGCGAGTCCGCGCAAGTAACGTGGTTCCTTTAATTTCTTTCAGGAGGAGCCGGCGACCCTGTCGATGCTGAATGATAATGAGTTACGCGCTTTGTTGGACGAAGCTATAACCTACAAACGTCCGAAAGACCGGGAGGGAAAATCTAATCTCTTTAAGGTACGTACGAGCCGCCTCGAAACTAGAGACGCGTAGGAATTGTGTCAGGATGATACGGAAACGATTCTTTGTAGGAACTCCTGCAAGAGGCGGAGGCGGACGAGACTGAGGAAGGCCGTAGAGTGATATCCAATTCACGCTGTCTTCCGGGCTCAAATCGCAGGAGACACAAACGGGAGTCCGTGTCCGAGCGTTTGACACACGGTGGATCACTGCAGAATCTGGCGCAGCCTATAGCTTCGGAATTCGATAGTAGTTTTGCCTACCTGACGTCTAGCTCGTGCCACACTTACGGAAGCAGCAGGAGAAAGAACAAGAAGTACACTGGACCCAGTGTCTCTGCCAGGCAGAGAGAAGGTGGATCATTACCGTCGAATGTCAACGCGTCGCATAACCTTGCTTCTTTGGCCAATTTAGATCTAATATTCGATAAGAAGGTACTTATCATTAGAACTAATAATGACGTTCGTAAATGTACAAGTCTTTATCTTACGAGCGCGTTTACGTAATGAATTATATATAAAACAATGTTTGAAAGACTCTCACGATTGTAACTCCAGCGAGGATTTTGGCAACATATTGGCAATTTTCTTGTCTGTTTGTGAAGAAGAGCTTCTACGAGGAACGGTCAGCTTATGACTGGACCAATAAGGAGAAGTCCAAGTCCCTAGACAAGCCGTCGTACGCCAGTACAAAGAAGGACGAGAAGGAGAAGGAGAAGAAGGAATTGAAGAGAGACACCGCCGGTAGTTCGGGCGAGGGAGAGTCCGAGGCGCGGGAGAAACGAGCCAGCAAAGGAAAATACGGAACAAATGAGATGCTGGAGTCAGATAATCCGCCGCCGGAATATAAATCGGATTACATGGTCATCGATTTGGGCGACGTTGAGGTAAAGTATCGTCATTTGTGGCAATTGATCTTTCCCCTCCCCTCGATCTCCAGAAACGCCGTGATTCTGTATGTCTGTAGCGTGCGTCTTTTTATAGTTTTACGCTGACATATGGAACCTGTATAGTTTTGACGTCGGTTTCGAATTATTAGACAAGTGCTCGTGGCAAGATCGTCTCGTTGACTCGCCACTGGTTTTCGAAGTTTCATTGATATATAAAGAGAATTTTTCTCTCAATTATCTTCAACGTAATTTGCCACAAATTTTACGACGCCTCTTGTAATCTTGACACTATACAGGTATTAACACAGTTATATAAGAACATTTCGCACATGTATGAAACGGATTACATGGTAAAAATTAAATTTCACCGATTGTAAAATCAGATTTTTACATGTAACGGCAAGTTTGATAGCGCTTTTATGTGTTTTTGTAATAAAACTTGCCTTTACATTTACATTTGGATTTTGTTTATATTTATTTTAATATATTTATATTGAATATATTGAAATATTTAATAAGCAGAAGTATATTGGAAAATAAACGTTCGCTGGTCTGTGAAAAAAATCCGTTTCAAAAGCCACGCATTCGTGTTCGTTAGTAACTTTTGTTCATTTATTCGCTGCTCGAAAGCCGATTGACGATTCGTATCCCGCCGAGGGGTATCCTTTTTATCACAAAGCCTCTTTCCGGGGGGGTTCTATTGAATAAAAAAGATCGTTTTGAGATTCAATAGGTTTTAAATGGCATGAAAAATGACACGGGATGCACATGTGGTGTTGCGAGGTTAATGAATGAGATAAAATTCTATAAAATACACGTTGAAGTGCCAAACTGTTTCACAATCATCATTTTTTGGGTTTAAAGTTTAAAGAAAGGGTTTACACGTATATATGTGCACCGTGTAAATCCTTGAGTGAGTTTTTCGTTACTGTATTTCAGTAATGGGGAAGGATTTTCTATTTTTGTACAAGGAAAATATTTAAGTGCAAACGTACGGCATTTAAGAGGGACATTGTTTCATGTATTGCAGGTAGGTGCTATCAGCGAGAGAAATGTGGGGTCTACGGCGAGTGGGATTCAGAGGCCTCGCTCGTTAGACACTGAAAATGACGAAGGGACCGAATTGAAAATCATTGAGCCGCGCAAACCGATCCACTATGTCACACGGGCAACTTTCGATATAACACAGACACCTGTGGACACCACTATAGAGTTTCCTATACGTGATCATAAGCAAGAAAAATCAAAAATGTCTGTCAACGGTACAGAGGTGACGGGGGCGTTGTTTCAACCACACAACAGCGTTAAATGCAGTATAGGCGGGGCCTCAAATGGTTCCAGCACTAGCCAGAGCAAAATCGTGCCCAGTTTATGCTCCGTGATGCCGGCGTCTTGGCAAACGCAAAACATAACAATGGGTAAGAATGACACTCTAACATATGTATTGCATGCGCGAATCTCGATGTATTAAACTTTTCAAGGATACGTTAGAATGTATGTGGGCCTTATCCAAGTCTCAAAATTAATAGACTTATCTATTGCAAACTGAAATATGTGACTTGCGCGCAGAAGGTCCCAGGTATACAACGCAGCATATCACAATGAAGGATCCATCCGTGTCGGGGGAAAAGAAGTCGTTGGACGAGAACGGAAACGCTGTGCAGACCTACAACGGCGAGCGGAAGAAGCCCAGGAGGAAACACACTCAGGAACACAATGTCAAAGTTTACAACGCCGAAAATGTCGAGGGCCATCGTAACGAGGATATCGACAGTCTAATTAACTTCATTGAGAATAAGGAATCCAAGAGTAAAAAGGGCAAGACGAGTAATCCCGTTAGAGTCAAGACCAGTTCCGGCACAAAACCGAGAACCAGAGAGAAGGATACGAAGAGAGAACAGTTGCCTTCCAAGTTGAAAAAGTCCAATTCCCTGGAAGAGATCTCGAAGACGAAATTGGAGGATCTCACGACGGAGAAGAGTGCCAGTTCCAGCGGTGCTAGCAGCGTGTCCAGTCAACAAGGTATGTATTTACGTGCACCGAGCTTTCAGATATGATCCTTGAATGCATCCCTCTTAATATTACACCGTCTTTATATACGATAGGCGTAAATATCGCATTGCGACGTCCGAAACAAAGAAGCACCGGAGATGCGACAGTTGATAGTCGAGGCGACAGGCGATCCTGGGGGACAGAGGAAGGTCAATCGATATATTGCAACGACACGGGAGAGGATTACATGAGCCGTCGTAATTCCAGCAAAAAGATTAATCCAGAATCGGAGCACGAGACGGAATTTCTGGTGGTTACGAAAAAGAAGAAGAGCAAGAAGCAACGGAGAAGCTCCAGTGGCAGCAGGGCGCAAAACCTGACGACGTCAGGTTCGTATCTTCAGAATTCCAGAGGCTTCTCCAACGACTACAGGACACCTCTTTCTCCCGAACTCCGAAGAAAATCGGCCAGCAGTATGCCTCCAAGGTAATTATACAAATAATTGCATATATGTAAAAAAAGTGACTCGACAGTTAAAATACCAAAGTTAAAATATTTAAATGTGTTATTCCTTGCAGCGACAAGTCGGCGGATAGTAGCGACTTAGATTCAGTCCACTCATTGCCGGTTACGTCGAACACCTCCAAACACAATCTGTCCAAAGTCGCAACCTCGTCGGGCGGCACTCCGCAGGCGAGTTACGCGGACATAGCACGCATGGCTACTATCAACATGACCCACAACCTGACCATGTCCGCCATGCTGAACACGTCGTCGTGGCCCAGTGTTCCGCCCAAGACCCTTTCGGAACCGGACAAAGTGCCTCAAGATTATTACCCGAGTCTGGACGAGTTGCAGCACTCGGAGAGGAAGGTGAGGCAGCAACAGGCCCAATCGAACCATGCGGCAACGAGTCTGGGTCTGGCTTTTGAGAAGCCACTTTCGCCAACTCTGTCGAAGATGAAAAATTCGTCGGACAGAAAGAAAGCCGAAGCTCAGGAAGAGGCCATCAATAAGAACATCCAAGTGTTTAAATATGTGCAAGATATCGAGAAGATGCACGAGAGCCTAACGCAAGCGACAGAACACAAGGAGCAGAGACACGCGAGTTCCAGCTCCAATTACAGCTCCAATTCGAGCGAGACTACCGCGATAAGCGCCGTAACGCCAAGATACAATAATAATAGTACAACGATGAATTATAATCCAGTCGATACCGATAATCCCAATTGCACCGTCAACAGTAAAGATTCCGTTACGCTCTCGCGAGCTAATAATCCTCGCTCTCGCAGGAGTTACGTGCACAGTAATTCAAATGTACAAACTCAGGGAATGCACGAAGAGCAACACGTTAAAAAGCCCGCGTCCTCGTATCACGAAGAGGCTGTTAAGAAATCGCATAACAGCGACGTCCCGCAGTTGGAGAACAGGACTAATCCACCAACAACGATCGTGTCGCACGACGGCGCGGACGCGTCAAAGTCGAAGACTGCGAAACCCACGCAGGACCCGCAGAGCGTCGAGCCCGAGTCTGGCAACGGCAAGACAACCAGCGGCGGCGATCCGAGGACAACGAGGATCGCGAAGGAGTATCAGAACACCGCGCTGAAGCAGGACGCGGCGAAAGTGGCAGTCTGTCTGCCGCAAAACTCGAAGCAAGATAATCAGCAGCGCGACGACGCAGAGAGCAAGAAGGCGAAGTCGCAGAACGCGCAGGCCGATAAAGACCAGCCGCAGCAACGATCGTCCGCGGAGGCGCAGCAGACGAAGAGTTCGACCCCCAGGCCGGCGGTGATTCTGCTGGACGAGGCCTCCTCGGACATCGCGAAGAACAACAATCTGCCGACCGAACTCACGTTCGGCTTCGAGATAAACGAGCAGCTGCTGCTTTCGGAGGACAACGGTAACGAGGAGACGACCCCGTCGATTGCCGCGAATCCGGCTTTTCCTGCGGCCGTGCCGCCGCTGGTCAGCAAACCGCCGCCCAATAACTTCGAGAGGAATCCGCCGTTGTTCGCCGAGAAGCCCGTGCGATACGACAAGTTCTCGTCGAATTATCACATGCCGCAGCCGAACGCTCATCCAGTGCATCCAGTTATGGTGCAGCCGTTGCCGTACATGAGCTACGGCCCCACGCCCAGGTTCGCGTCACCCGCGTACTTGCCGCCGCCGCCTCCACCGCCGCCCGGGATCATGGAGAAGTTTCACCCGCCTAAGGAAGATTTCTCTATGCTTTACGTAGCGCCCGAGGAGGAGCTGAATGTGCAAACGTACAACCACGATAAAATTGTGTCGTTCGTTGGCTTAGGTAAGATAGCACTTTCTCGTCGTCTTTAACCGAGTTATTCGATACACCATCCTTATTCCTTGTACTCATTGCTACCGTGTCTTTTCTTTGTCAACAGCATGGGACGCTGTCATGAGAGAGATGCCAGTGACAACCGGCCGTGTACAGTTTTATAGCGGACAGTGAAGTGAGAAAGTCGTCGACGCGCCTCAGGCAATAGGCAATGACAGTAACTTTTGTACTGGTGAACCACTTCCATTGCAAGTAGTTAGTTCGATGAGTCTCGGCCACGTTGATACGCGAGACCAGGTACTCGTACGGCTGCTCCTCGCGGGATGCAGAGTTCGTTCGGAGGATCTTGCACGTTTGAGTCGAGCGCTGAGTCAACGCGCGGGGGGATCGGTGGTGCCGAGTGGTGCGCAAAGTGTGCCTCAAGAGATAATAATAGCAATGTACATATATAATCAGTCGACAAAAAGCGGAGGAGAATGGAGGAGTAAGCTAAAGTGTATATTCCAGTAATGTACATTGTACTTGCGTAAATTTCCAAATGATGGTGACAGTGTCGCAGAACTTCAGTATTGACAATTAGGAACGTTTTGAGCGGAAGATATCTCTGTCCCCTGAGAGAGAGAGAGAGAGAGAGGGAGATGTGTTCTGCTTCTTCGAACGAAGGGAACTTCCAGCGTACGAGCCACGCGTGTACATACGTCAGACAGCCCTATAAATTTTGGAAGATATCGTCTTGGTTTATATTAACGGGTGTACGATTGTAAGAGAATGCTACGAAGAGCGTGTGTGGACTTGTAATAACCCAGGTGTACCACGAAGCCTCGGAATGGAAGAGTCCTGCGCATCGACACAGTGGTATCTCCCGGTGTTGCCTTTGGCGTTGCAAATCTTTAGGCAGCCCAATGGGGAGCCGATCGAGGAAGCCTGCACTAATCACATCGAGTCGAGAAACGTATGAGAAGTATCGTGAAACGTCTGTAGTAAGTAGTTTCGAACTCTCTCGAACTGGAACGATCTTAAATCGACATCGTGGAAGATTGTGAACCAGCGGGTTACGATTCGGTGAGTCGAAATATGACGGAGAGAAATATATGCAGATATTGTACTTTTACCCTCGATAAATGCAAATTAAGACGTGCGGACTGTAAATGAGAGAAATGTAAATGCGCGGTTGTGTAATATATCGAGATAGCGATAGTAGTCGACTTATAGAACTCAGAGTGGCTGCTTCTTCCAGTTGTGGAGCATTCGATAGCTTTTAAAGTAAACAAAGGAGAAAAGAAAACGATGGTCACTAACTGAGTTTCGAAAGCGTCAAAGTTTTAAGCTCAAAGTCTGGTCAAATGTCTGTGAAGATAGAATGGTCGAGTGTGTCGAATCGCAAAACGTTTAAATTTTTACACAGACTTGCTTATTTAATAAAAAAAAGTAACGGATAATTATTCATAATGATAATTATAAGAAGATGCTTGTGATCAGTAAACATACAACGGTGTGAATGCGTGTGCATAATTTCGCGTAGAACCGTGTGTCCGATGACTATGAGAGTGAGATTGCTGTTCGATTGCGGTACAGGAGGCATTGCCCCGGGAATGCACGAAGGTAAACCCGCGTGCACTGCATTAACGCGTATCATTTGCTCATTAAATGTTAACTCGAGTTACATGAAGCTCCGCCACGCGAGACACGTTCCCAGTTCCTAAGCTTTTAGTTTCGTTTTCGGGTGTGTCTTACCAACGAACGACGATCCGTCGGTTTCCGAAACGCGCGGGGATCCTCTTGCATTTTTTTCCCCCCCCCCCCCCCCGTCCCTTTTCCGAGGCGTTGATTTACAGGCGTAAGTGGGAAGAAAAAGAGAACGCGTGCACGCGTTTACCATTTCGATAAATACGCATACGTAGACGAGAGCACTGTAATATAATGTATGTATATACGGGTGGATCTCTCTTAAATTAAACGGGAAGCGAGAAAGGAAAAGATATATAAGCCGTATCTTAAATTCGTATGCCTGTAAATGCCTAAAGATAAAAAAACAAAAAAATTGAGCCTAAGAGAAATAAATAACGCGCATGTAACGCTGCTTTTAACTACTGTAATTGTACGGTTTTTAAATGTAAGTCTATGAACTTCTGTAACCTCAGGGGACACTGCGGATCCGTAGAATCGTGCTCCAAATGTTACTAAAACGGATGAATACTAAAAGTAATCCCAGTTGCGTTTAAAATCTAATTTTAGTTTACGTCTTTCGACTCATTTCGTGATGATGCCGCCGCCTCTTGTCGCCGGGGCGCGAAGACACATTCTAATAATCATGATGATGATTTTAATTATTAAAAATCGCACTGCGAAACAACGTCGTTCTAATACGAGAGTAAAAAAAAACCTTCGTACAGCAGTCTCATACGGAGAACGGAATGAGTGGGATGCGAATCGTGGAAACTTATCGCCTTCATAGGTAATGATAAAGCAAATTATCGCAGATAAGTTTTCATATGGAAGCATGAAAGTGTTACTGTATGTAGTATTATAACGCGAGTTAATTATTATTAATGAAATTTAGGATTGGTAAAAAGAGTTTGTTATAATATCGTTCTTTCTTTGCGAAAATATCAAAATTGTAAAAACGAAAAAAAAGATAGCCGTGCTCCGTTGATAATTTTCATTTTTTTTTGTTTTGTCCAGTATGTAAGAGATAGTTCCAGCTGGAGGTACAGCTTTCGAGATAAGCGAGAAATCGAGATATTTAATTGTACGACGCAAGCGTTTTATCTCGCGTATCGGAGAGTAACTCGGAAAAAAAAAGAACAGAAAGGTACGACCGTAGGCTGCGGCTAAAATGTTTGTTACGGACTTGACTAAGGGCCAGTTTCACAAACGTCGATTAGCTGCTAACCGAAGGTTAATTGATTCTCTGTCTCTTCTTAGATAACAAAATAGAAAAGGATAGGAAGTTGACTGAACTCTGGTTAACAGTTAACCGACGTTTGTGAAACTGGACCTAAGTGTCCCAAAGTGTCCCTCTCTTTTTTTTCTTTTTTAAACAGGCAAGTTCGAGGGAGACACGTTTCCGACGTTACGCTGACTGTCCCAGACTGCCTCTTTAGTTACCCCCTTTCCCTCTCTTTTTTTTTCTTTGCCAATCGTCACGTTTTACTTTTCAGTTGCCGATGTCGACGTTACATTCCAAAAGTGTAATCGCGAGAGCCGCCGTTTCACTCGTGCGGCCGAGAGAGACTTTCTTTTTAATCTCCCCCCAGATGCTCTTCCCAGATTCTTCCCTTCGCCCACGTATGTTGCTCCAGCGGAGAATGTACTGGTCGATTTCTTTTTTAATCCCCTCCCCCAGTTTCTTTTAATTTTTTATTTTACATGCGCTCGCGCAAACACACACACACACACACACACATATATATCTCTCGACACGCTGCACACTCTTGCAACGATCTCGCAGTTATTACTTTGACTGAATCGCCCGAGCGGCTCGCGGACGATACCTCTTTTTTTCCGAGCTACTTCCCCTCGACGCGCGAAGAAACTACGATTTCCAAAAAAGAAAACACTAAAAAAAAAGAAACAGAGTCAGGTGCTCCACTCGCCTTAAAAATGCAAACCGAATGCAGTCTCAGCCTGTGCCATGTTGACCGGTTCAAATGGCTAAGTGATAAGAGTTCGCGAAGACTAGTGCAAATGTACTTGGTGGAGAGGGACTAAGCGAGGAAGAAGGAAAGAAGGAAGAGAAAGAAGAATAGGACCATTTAAAACAGTGTACATAGCGAGTGTGGGGGTGGCGAATGCGCCCGCCCTGTGTCGCACATGTAGAGTATACATGTTATAATTAACGTTTCTTTTTTTTCTTCATTCGATGGACACGCGCGCGCGCGTGGTGGAAACGCGCGGACGTGTCGCTGCGGACCGGCCGGGACCGACTTTTGTCTCTTCGATCTGCATCACGCGGTCAAGATCAAGTGGTTAACGACGAGTAGAAACGCAACTCGAGAGAGAAACAGAGAGAGAGCGGGAGAGAGAAAGAAAACGCGGACGAGACAACGAGGAAGGAGAGAAGCGAACGTGCGAACACAGAGAAAAGGGAGAAAAAGTATCCGCAAAAGAGGGAAAGAAAGGAAGCCAAGTTGCACACGAATACCTGTACGCCCTTGTCCCTCTTACTGTTTTCGTTTATAAGCGTTTATGAGAAGGAATAAATATATGTTTATTTTCTTTCACATCGATCTGCATCTCCATTCATTCACAGCGGAATCTGTTCTAGCGCCCCGTGCCTTTCCGAAGGAAACACGCCCGAGATGTTCCGCCCTCGAGTCTCGTCCAGTCCCCTTCGATCTTTCCGGACGCTTTCCTTCCCCCCCGGTTCCGGCCGATCAGCCGATCGTTGATCGCTCGCTCGGAAAAACGCGATATCCATCCGGATCCGCAGTGCGCCGCATCATCAAGGAGACGGTTGCGCGCCAGCTCAGCCGCCGCCTCCCGGACGGGACGCAGTGCAAGGAGTGAAAATATCATCCTCCCCTCTCACCCCCCACCCCCTAGGAGCGAAGTCGACTGTCGACTACCCTCCCCGACGCTGGTCCCGCGCGCTGTACAATTTGTTACTCGATAACGAAACGATTCTCCTCTCGTATTGTACATTCGACGCTGTATGATATAACATTGTATGATTATTACCAACGCTACGGCAAAATTATCCAATTAAGATTACAATTAACGCCGCTATTATTAGTGAGATAACGAATGCGAGAGTGTGTGCGTGAAAGATATGTGCCGCGTGTGTCGAACTAGTGGATCCTTGCGTGCGCGTGAAAGGCTGTGCTGTCCAGCTGCAAAAGAGGAAAAGAAAGAAAACCCTGACGAGCGTGTCTGTTGCCAAAGTTCCCCCTTTCGCGAGTGCGTCGAGTCAGCGGTGACGTCCGATTGTCGAAGGTCGCGCGTCGGCGAGCTTCGTCCCCGAGGTGGCAAATCAAAAGTCCCCGCTCGGGCTGTGGAAGCGGCCGCTGGACTCTCCCCCTCTCTCTTCTTCGCGGCTGAAACTACAACGAAGAGAGAAGAAAACCGCTCGCAGCCTCGTCCTCGGCGACGGCGAAGATCCGCGGCGCTCTCGCGACTTCCTTTTCCGTTCCATACCGAATTCCACTCGGAACCGAGTCTTCGGGGACTCCGCGTGTCAAGCCAGTCTTGACAGATCGCGCTCAGGAGTTACACGGCGATTCTCCCTGCGTCGAGCGTTCCGCGGAATTATCCGGAGAGGGGCGACTTTCTTCCGAAGGGCTTCTTTCGTAAGGAGATTAACGTTCCATTAGGATGTTAATGTATTAAGACGTCGAAGCCATCCGGCCCGGCGTTGACCCGGAGACAAGCCGGCGAAAAGTGTCGCCTGCGCGCTTATATCTTTCCGTTGAACGACGACGAATTGTTAAGGTTGAGCGAAAAAAAAAATCCGGTAGCGTTGGGGAAAGAAATCCGGAGGGGTCGTTGCGAGAGAAAAGCGAAGAGATATATCACGGATTTATTCTCAGGTGATGTATTCACACGCGCACGCGTGGCTTTATTATTTTGTTATTACCTTGTTGGATGTACGTCGAAGCTATCATGGACCACGGATGCGAAGGGTCGTTCGGAAATCGTTGCCATGGAATGCGAAAGATGTGGCTGAAGTGTGTATGAATGAGAGTGGCAGAGAGAGAGAGAGAGAGGGGGGGGGGGAGAGGGAGAACGAGGGAGTGGACTAAACATTTCGCTACTCGTGCGAGAGAATTCCAACCCTCCCCGGATGTATTCTGAAACAGGGAAGCGTGTAGTGTCCGCCGTTTGGCCTTTATGCTGTCTTACTTGCGATTTCGTACAAGCTTTGCGTGCAATACTGTGATAAAAGAAACAAGAATGAGTCGTTCTCTATTTCTCTTCGTCCTTTCTCCTTTTTCGAAGCGCATGCACGTACAATGTGAGACCGGCGCACGTATATAAATATATAAATATATATGTCGGGATATGGTCGCCTGTTTCCAATCGGTCCCTTAAAGCGAGTCGCAAACATCCGTTTATAATTCGCGCGTACAATTCGTTTCCGGGTACACGCACAACGTGCGCACTTTCGAATTTTTCTGTCAGGTACGAACTCGACTTGTCGACTTATCGCGGCCTATCCGGTTCTCCTTTTCGCAGCTGACCGTAAAACAATTGAGTTTAAGACCACATGGATCGGACTCTCGACAAATCTGTGTTGGATAATCGCATAATTTGGACGCATTAGCTTCGTACTGCCATCGCATTGACACATTTGTTCCTAATTGTTGCATCGCAAGTTAATATAAGTTTATATTATTGTTTGTTACATATATAGATATATTGCGAGTAAAGCGGTGTTAGCTATTAAAAGCGTGTCCCGAGACAGCACAATCTCAGTTCCACAGACAGTGGACAGATACTTATTATCTCTCTGATATTTTACGTAGACTTCCAAAATGACCATAACAATAGTGATCCCGCGGCAACGACACGAGGTTTCGGCAAGGCGTCGCGGTCATTAGCGCGCGTTTAAGGGGAGGCGATTCGAAACAGGCGGTTCTCCTGAGAGGACAGAAATATGTCCATTCTATGCGCTTCGCGCGATTATTTTCCGAAGCTAAGCGATAGATCGCTAGTTTGGCGTGTTATTTTGCATCCGCAGAGGCTACGACCTGTGAATAAATGGTTTTTGTTGAAACGATTAATTGTCGGAGTGTGTGAAACAAAAAAAATCCTGACGTCTGCATCTCGATATACCATAATGTAAATAATAATGATGTTGCCGAAAAGAAAACTACCTGCTTCTCCATCTGTTCGCATACTACCACTTTTTTTTAGGAGACTTCGTTTTAAGTTAAGAACGCGGTACGTTTCTATTACGAGCGCAATTACAACAGAATAGATGTCGGCGGATATTCTTTCTTTCACGTATTTACTGTGAAGAAAACTTACGTCAGCAGAGAGAAACGTTCGATTTCTTCATTCTTCACAGGTAAGTTTATTCTAAAAATGATAGTTTTTTTAAGTATCATGTATATATGTATATATATATAAGATAAAAATGTGTTATATATGTCTATATATGTACATGTAATTATGTATATATACTTATATATGTATATATAAGATATATGTTTATTATATTACAGTACACATTTTACGACCATCGTGCCAAATTTCTGTAGCTTTTCAACGCTTTGTATCGAGTCCGCGATTGGTTACATTGACAATTGTTAGGAAAACTATTGACCGTGCTACGCGTAATTGGTTCGAAACAAACGGTAGATCAAACAGATCCAGAACTAACTGGTTTCGTTTCGTTTAGCTGCGCTTTCTTACGCTCTTCATTGTGTAACTACGCATACATTTCCATTGAAAAAGAGAAGAGTAAATGGAACAAAATTGTAAGAAAGTGTAGCTGAAGTTATAAGCGTGGTCTACAATGGCAGTAGGAGTAGTGGATTAAGGCTGTAAGACGTCGGAGTAAGCTCGTGTTTCCGGTGTAGTAGGCGTAGAGTAAGGCTGTAAGCAAAATGGTTCAATTCCATTTCGTACGACCTACTCCCTTACTCTCAGCCACTGATAATCAGTTCACGAAATAGGTTAAAGTTGAAACCCTGATCTCGTTTGCGCCTGTTCACAGGCCGAACCCACCACCTCCGAATAGATCTCTTCGTTTGCATAATACGCCATTGAAGAGTCAAGAGCTGACTCCATAATAATATAAATAACACAAATCCATCCAATTCTTCGCACATCCATATTCACCAACAACGGTAACATTTGTGTAATAACATTGGTTAACACTGATTGGCTCATTATAATCCTTACTCTACGCCATTGTAGACACTCGGGCGTAAAGGGACCTTAATCCTACAGCCTATGTCTAACGCCTACTTCTTTAATCCACTACTCCTACTGCCATTGTAGACCACGCTATAGATCTAGCAATGGTGTTAGTCAAGTACGGAGTAGAATCACTATTCCATGCATTGTTCCTTCTGATGTACGCCGTATCTCCTTTGTAGCTCCTCCTCCATCGCCTGCAGCTGCTCCCTGCTCTGCTCCTGCGTCATCTGCTCCATCAACTCGTGATTGTAAGTGGAGTGCAACATCAGAGCCAGCACACCGGCTCGCGTCGCCATGTTCGACCGAATCTGCCTCTCTTGCTCGACGAGCTCGTCGATCTTGAGCCACTGCCTCACCCTCTCCATGTCGATCTCCGCGCGTCGCAGCTTCTCCCACATGTAGTGCTTCACGCAGCTCTTCTTAGGCGCGCGACAGAATTCGCCTGTGGCGTCGAACACGTTCGTGACTAACGGGCAACCGCACACCTCGGTGTCGCCGATCTTCGGATCCTTGCAGTGCTCGGGACAGAGGACGCGCAGTCTCTTGCAGTATGTCCTGTTCCCAGGATTGAAGAAGTCGCAGAACATCACTTGGCCCTCGATGCGCGTCTTGAAGATCGAGCCGAAGGACGCTTGCGACTCGTACTGCAAAATACAAGCTGAATAAGCGTTTCTATTTCGCGGAAAAACTCATATAAAATAAAACCAGTATCGACTTATTAACTCGAATGAGATCGGGAAAGATGACAAGTGCGTAGACACACAATATTTCAAGCGTTTACACGAATTCTCCCAAAGGAAGAAAATCAAATCCAAGTGATCGACAGGTGCCGTAATCTTCCGTGACACACACTTTGTTGGTACCTTATTGAAACACTTTTCCATATGTTTAACGGCGGTTCTCGAGTTGACCTCGTGGCCGCACGTTATACAGTACATGCTACTCTCCGTGTCGTCGTTGTCGTCCACCTCGGCTTGCGGATCGATGGACGCGTGCTTGGCGCGCTCGACAATGCGGTCCAGCTCGACGTGTCTCTTCTCCAGCTCCTGCAGTATCCTACGAACGTCGTGCTGCTGCCTTCTCACGGTTTCCAAGGCACGTCGATTATTCTGCTCGGCGATGCACGCGGTCAACGACCACTCCTGTATCCGCTGTGGCAACACCTGGTAGATCCTGCTGGTCGCCAGCTTCAAGCCACAATCGTCGGAGCAGTATTTGCTGCCTGGCCGCGACTGTCTCGTGCACGCCGGTCCGTAGCAGTGGCGCGGCGGCTCCAGGTAATCGTTCCTCTCGTTACTAGAGTCCCTCTTCCGCCTCTTGGTCAGCTTGGTCCCCTTGTTGAGACTCTTGGAAGGCTTCAGTGGGTCGCCGAGGACGCGGCAGGTACGTTGGATACATCTGAGCTTCAGTCGCACCGAAGGTCCGAATTTCTTTAGGTGCCTGCGTGTACGAGAGACCCAAGATGGTTAATTCTACATAGGCGAGACTGCCTCGCGCAAACGACGGCCTCGTTTCTTCGTAAGTTACCTGCAGGCGTCGCACTTCCCACAGTTTTCCATGCGCAGGCAGCCCGTACATTCTCCGCAACGCTTGGAGGATTTCTTCTCCACGCTGGGGCCCCACGGCGCGTCGTACTCGTACCGAAGTGCCCTCTCCTTCTCCTTGTCCTTGTACTTCCTGTGTTTCCTGTCATCCTGGTCGGTCCTGCGCGGCTTGTATCGCGTTATCAACGTCGAGTCTTCCTCTCTGCAACGCTGCGCACAAATAAATAATCGATTACGTCGGGCTGCCTCACGTCGTTAGTTTCAAAAGACACGCTCGTTCGAAGAGCTCACTTACAACGCAGAAAAATTGCTTTATGTGCTTCGCGTCCTTTTCGGTTATGTTTATGCAGTCACCGTGGTACCACTCCTCGCACGCGTCGCATCCTCTGAAATAATTCCAAGCGCAGGGATTACAATCCTGTCGCAAAGCGCATCGGGTTTAGACAAGGATAGCTCTGGGCATCTCGACAGGTTTACTCACATCATAAAGCGAGAGCTGTCCGAGCTTCTACAAATGCAGTACGCTTGGCCGTCCTGTTTCAGTAACGTTGCAATCTTGCTCTTCCTCTCCGGCAGCATAAACTGCTTCGCTATCTCCTCCTTCTGAGCATACCAAGAGAGATCAGTCCAAGTATGTCCTTTTTATAATCCTCTGTTGCGAGATAGTAGATTATCAACGTCTAAATTTAATCACAAATCTTTTGTGCAACTACTACAGGATCTAACGATCAATTTTCCACTAAACAGATTTCACTCCAAGGGCAATAAATTCATGGTGAAACCAACAGATAACGCCTATTATTTAATTTAGCAGAAACTCCGATATCTCATAATAGGGGACTTTCTTCTAATAAAGAGGTTACACGGTCGTTTTCAGATGCTGCAGTTCACAAAAGACTCGTGTGAAGTAAATACTGCTGTGAATTGTACATACGACGACGTTGTCGCTTACAAAGTCAACGAACAATTGTATTTTACTTAATATACAGCCGCATGCGCGACTCTCTTCAATCCTCACCGACAAGCTGTGCTGCCTTTTATCCGACATGGCGAGGTGAATTGGCAGTAACACGAGAAAAAGTGACGCAGCTTCTCTATTTGGTTCTACGATACTTTTATATTACATTATTTACACGCGTCCCCGTTTGTGACAAAGTTTCACGACCGCATCCAAGCCACGAGCGTCCAAGCGAGCAATCTCGCCGCCATGTTGATCGGCGCTGTCGGTAACACGGCACAGTCGGTGGTGCAGGACGGAGTTTATGAAAATGAGAATCCGGGAATGAAATTGAATGAAATACTGTGAAATTAGATGAAAGTTAATTAATATTACTAAAAATTAGTGAAAAAATGTTAGAAATGTTGTATATTATGAAATTTGCAGAATTTCACTGAAAATAAATTTTTTAATGAGAAATTGCTGAAATGACAATGAAATTGGGTCAATTGCAAGAGATTTTCAACCAAATTTCAGCAAATTTCATTACGTTTTCAGCAAAATTTTTCCATCAGGGTGCCGCTGCAGCAGTCAATCCGACGTTAGGTTGGCGTCTCGGTGCTGCTATCTGTCCTTAGCTTGTCGTTGCCGGATCCTCATTCTCAGAACGCACTTTTAAATATGCCCGAGATGCCCTTTTTAGGTCTAAGGACGATCCTTGTGGCACACCCGAATGAGTAGATAGACGAGCACAAATAGCCGTAGACCATTTATGGACTTAAGTGCCATTTCTAACATAAGAACAAGTTAAAAATCATAGTGAAATCATACAAAATCATGCTTTAGTATGATGGCCGTACTAAAATATCCGTGTACATTTTTCCACTTAGATGAGCAGAATCAAGGCCTTCACATAAAATTCCGTAAGGACGTAATTTCAAGTCAAATGTCAAATTGCTAAGATACTAGGGCGATTTGTACATTTATGTGCTTTACAAGCAAGTTGGAAACGAACGCCATGCGATTTATTTCGCGCAATGTGATTTCTTATTTTAAAACTATGGAATGTAGAAGATACTTTCACAAAGTGAATTACGCATTAAACAAAACTGACATGTAATAAGATTTAAACGTTGATCAGAAGCTAAAGCTACGTTACATAGAATTGATCATATTTAAAAGTATCGAATAGCAGAAATAAAATATCAAACATTCGCACTCGAGATGAGAGAGCAAAGTCGCCAGTGTGAAAGGACCGCGACACTTGCAATATTTCATATTTATTAGAAACTATACAACAACAATTATATCACAGGAATATATCCTAAAGTACAACGTACGCGGGCCATGTCAGCGGTGCCGCGTACAATTTCTTCCAGTCTCGTAACAAAGACGCGCGTGTGAAAAATACTTTGAGAAATGTCACAACATCCGCGTACATTCCTGGACCACGGGGTCCTCCTCCTCTCCTTCCTCTAAAAAAATTCTCCTATGATCGACATTCGTTGTAGGAATGGTTGAGCCTGGCAGGACAAGATCTGATAGTTGTGTCGCGCCGTGACGTTGGTCGGATAGAGATTCCCGCGTCGGATGTTCTCCAGCATTATCTGCGGCTCGAATCTGGTCCTCGCGGGACCCGGCGTGGCGTTGCGCCGCGCTCCGCCCTCCGCGGCGAGTCCGGGTGCGGCGTACCGCCCGTCGGACAGTATCGGCGACTCGAAGCCCTCGTCGACGCCCTCGCTGTCGTCGGCCTTGTACATCGCCGACGAGGGCGCGAGGACCTGGGCCGTCGGCAAGCGGACGCTTCGATTCGAGGTCTCCGCGTCCTCGCGGCCGGCGGAATCCGACGACGGGTCCGTCGACGAGGCGTTCGGCGACAGGGCGCTCTCGTTGAGAGCGGCGTCCTTCCGCCCGACCGCGGGGAAGTAGATCCGTCTGATCTCGGACAGCTTCGCTATCGCGATCGGCAGCACTTCTGGGTCCCCCCCGCTGGTGACGTCCACCTCGCGATAAGACACGTTCGGCGAGGAGTCGTCCGCGGCATCGTCGGCGGCGGCGTCCGGCGCGTTCTCCTGCGTCGGCAGGAACCTCCTGAGGATCGGCCTCTTGTCCGGAAAGATCTCCTGCGCCGGCCGGCAGCAGTACAGGGCGCCGGGATCGATCGGGTGGGCCTCGGTGTTGAAGATATACCCGCCGGCGTCCACCACGCACTGGCCCCACTGCGTGTCGATGATCTCGCCCTCGGAGCCGGTGTTGTGGATAAAGTTGTCGGTGTCGAAGAGGAGGTACAGGTACTTGGTGGTCTCCGCGAGGAAGAAGGACTCCATTCGGTCCGCCTTGCGATGGTCCCGGACGTCGTTGATGGTCGCGTAGCCGCACGTGGTCTTGGCGCTGTGCTGCAGGCTCCTGAGGATGTCCACGCCCACCTGGATCAGATACGGGTCCCTGGTTGCCCTGTAAAGATACATGACGGACTCGATGAGCTCGGGCCTGAGGGGGTAGCCCTCCCGGTTGGTCCCCGCCTCGGCCTGCGGTATGTTGTAGAACTCCGGGGTGAATCCGAATTGCTTCCAGACGCGGTGGTAGTTGTGCAGGGACTTCATCGCGTCGCCGATCTCGCCGAAGAGGCTCAGCACGCCGGGCCAGTAAGCGTCCAGGGACTGAAAGACCGGCAGGGTCACCTGACCCTTGGTCATGGAGACCCAGAGATGCCAGTCCTCCCGGCGAATGTACTTCTCGATTGCCCGCTTGTGCTCCTGGAATATCGACGCCAGCAGGGGATCCTGAAACAGCAACGTACCCTTGGCCAGGTACTCGAAGTAGGAGTCGACGCCGGCGCCGATGCCGGAATCCTGGGCGGTCCAGTGGCCGGTGAGGACGTCAATGTGATTGCCGACTAGGCCGATGCTGGATCTGTAGTAGTGCAGCGCCTTGACGGCGTTCATGGCCACCTCCTCGTAGAGCGGGTCGCCGGTCAGGCGGGAGAGGGTGCCGAACTCGAGCAGGAAGGTGCCGATGCCGGCGGTGCACGTGATGCTGGTCTCGCCCTCCGGCACGCCGTACTTGAGATTCACCGTGCCGTACGGCATCCCCGTGGGTGTGTCGAACGCGGCGATCAGCCGCCTGGCCATGTCCTCGGCGAGGCGCAGCAGCGGGCCGTTGCAGGGCCAGCCGGGCTCGAGCCTGACGCCGGCCCGGCGCGACAGCAGGTGGGCGCTCAGCAGCCCGCCGACCACCCGGATGTTCGTCTCGAACACCGACACGTTGATGTTGGCCTCGAAGTTGGCGCGCGAGCTGCCGATCAGCTCGGCGACGCGGCGGAACTCGGAGTAGTTGCCCATCACCGCGAGCGTGTCGAGGGCGTCGATCAGGGTCAGGGAGAAGCTGCCCCACGTGTCGAAGCCGTCGCAGCTCAGCGAGCGCAGCTCGTCGTACGGGTAGGCGTGCGTCAGGTAGCCGGAGTACGCGTAATCGAACATGGAACGCACCTCCTCGCGCAGCCCGGCCAGCTCCCGCCTCCCGTACTCCCGCAGGCCGCTCACCAGGACGAGCAAGCCGAGGACCGAGCCCGCACGCAGGAGAATCATCGCTCAGCCGCCGACTCCGTCGTCACCGTGCATCGTCCGGCCTGTCCCGCGACGTTACGCGGTGCGACGCGAGCCACGAGCGCCCCGCGTTCGCCACGTAATCAAAACAATCCCGCCGCCGTCACCCGTAAACATCGCGTGCCGTCCAACCTAACCTAACCTATTCACTCGTATCTGTGCTCTTCGCGGCCCGCGACCACGTACGCGCGGAGCTGTAGGCGCGCGCGCGGCACCCGCGCGCGATGCGGACTCTCGGCTGTTTCCTACGCCGTTTCTTCGTTCGCGGGGACAAGAAGAGCGCGGATTTGCGCGACGCTCGAGACTGATCCCGTCACGACCACCGGCTGATCTCGGCGCGACCTAACCAAAGCGACCGAGCGGGGAACCTCGAGCTCGAGCCGTTGCGAACGCCGGAAGACCAACGTCGCGCGGAGCTAGCGAAAGTTGCACCAGGGTAATTCCTAGGCGAGTTGAGAGCGTTCTTTGTACAAAGAAAGCGCGTTTGCGTCACGGAGCACACACTGCGGCTCTCGCGGGGACCATGGAGCTGGAAACGCTGCTGCGAAGCCGCGCTTCGGCGAGGAACTGTACGTATACGTCATGTTACCAAGTAGAAATCGTTGTTTCTTCTAAAAATACGCCGTGTGCTGTTACAGCGGACGAGAGTTCTCAAGACGACGAGAAGAAGGAAGACGAGTACTTCGAGAAGATGTATCAGCAGTGGAAGGGCGTGAAGGCCAAGGACGACTCCACTTACAAAGTCATACCGAAATTCTACTTCAAGGTACCTACTCGTGTCTCGCGTTTCAATCTCGCACTTGGATCACTGCGAAGCGTTGAAATAACGAAACTTTCCACTATACGTCGTAATGGTCTTTCAGCTGCCGAAAGAGGACGAGATTCTGCCACAGAAATTGCGCGAGGAGACGCGCGCCCTGTTCCTCCAAAGGCGTTCCCGGCAGTTGCTCGACAACAACGAGCTGAAGGCGTTGTGGGTTTTACTCGACAAGCATCACAGCCCGCCCTTGTCCGGGGACGAGCAGCTGATCAATTACGAGGACTTTAAGAAAGTGGGCAAACTGGCGGGGGCAAAGTGCAGTCCGTACTTTACCGCGGTTGTCTTCGCAAAGCTGCAGCAGGGAGACCCGCACGGTAGAATTAGCATCATGGCGCTGTTTAACTACGTCATGCGGAAAGTTTGGCTGCATCAAACGAGAATCGGACTCTCCCTGTACGACATCACGGGAGAGGGTTACCTCAGGGAGTCGGTGAGTCTCTGTGGACAGCCAAGCTCTCGGTTTCATTACTTACATCTTGCTGCATTTTTGAGCGGAATATCTTTTTTTTTCGTACAAAACTATCGTAAAGAGAAGAGAGCCCCAGTTTTTCCCAGCCGGGAATACGGATGTGTTGAGAGAATAAAATCACAAAACATTCCATACTTGAAATCTTCCTCAGCGGTGAGAGTAGATTGAAAGGAGAAATCGATAGTAATGTATGCACGAGATCACAAGGAGAACGCTAATAAAAATTTGAAAGCTCCAAACTTTCTCGAGAAAGGAAATCGCGTTTACTTTGCAATTCTCTAAATCTGTTTTAGCTTTTGTACCTCAATTACGCCTAACGGTGCGCCCTTTTAATCGTACTTCTTTATTTACAGGACTTGGAGAATTATATCTTGGAACTGATACCAACGCTGCCGCAACTCGAGGGCCTGGAGAAGTCCTTCCATTCGTTCTACGTGTGCACGGCAGTCCGGAAATTTCTATTCTTCCTAGACCCGCTGCGAACTGGACGAGTTCGTATTCAGGATATTTTAGCGTGCAGTTTTCTGGACGATCTTCTGGAATTGCGAGACGAGGATCTGCCGAAAGATCTGCAGGAGGCGAATTGGTTCTCCGCGCCGTCGGCGCTCAAGGTGTACGGACAGTACTTGAATCTTGACAAAGACCACAACGGCATGTTGAACAAAGAGGAACTCGCTGGATACGGCACCGGCACTCTGACCGGCGTTTTCCTCGAAAGAGTGTTTCAAGAGTGTCTGACCTACGAGGGCGAGATGGACTACAAGACGTATCTGGATTTTGTTTTGGCGCTGGAGAATCGGCACGAACCACAGAGCCTTCACTACCTCTTTCGGATTCTCGATATTAACAATCGCGGATACTTGGATACCTTTTGCCTCAACTATTTCTTCAGGGTGCGTATTGCGTCCCTGTTTACTGCGTTCAGCAGAAAAGGCAGTTTGGTAAGCGCTTCGTGATTCTTTGTCACGCTTTCTATATTTAGATCCAACAGAAGGCAAGAGTCAATCGTTAAAGAATCACCGTGCGCTCGGTAAGCTGCTTTTTCTGCTGAGTGCAGTTACTGCAATTTTCTCCGCAGCTTCTGAATCAAGAGGTGTCACTTTGCAGGCTATACAAGAACAGATGACGATGCACGGGCAAGAACCAGTTAGCTTTGAAGATGTCAAAGACGAGATATTCGATATGGTGAAGCCAGCCGATCCGTGCAGAATTACGTTGCAGGACTTGCTGTCTTGGTAAGAAGATCCCGCGAATGTAATGCATTGCAATGCGAATACCGCGATACGTTATAACTGACCTGAAACTGTTCCGATTGCAAAAGCGGACAAGGCGACACAATGGTCAGCATCTTGATCGAGTTCCATGGCTTTTGGGCGTACGAGAATCGCGAAGCCATGGCGGCTGACACCGGGGACGAGTCGTCCCACGTATGACGAAGCACTTCTCATCCCAGAATACGAGACAAACGTCCCGCCGGGACAGACGGCGCACGGCCGGACAGCAACGCCTGACACGTGTTTCGACACGACCCTGTGATTGAGACTTCGTAGTAGTGAAATAATCTTTGTAATTTATCACGTGCCAGAACTGGCAATCGCCATTGTATAACTCTTTAGGATTAATATATTCTATATCTTTATACAAGTACTTCTCGGGTGTTTCTCGATATTTCCCAACTTCGCCGTCGCGAGTGCCTGAGGTTCAGCTGTTGCTCATACGACGCGCTTCTTGGTTTCTGTTTGACAACACACACTTTTTGCTCCGCAGACAATTCGTGCGATCATAATACAATTTGAATTTTCATATCTGTAATCCGTGCTGTACGAGTGGCTCTCCCGTGGACCAATCGCGTGGCGAGATTTAAAAACAGTGGGGTCAAATAGCGAGCTCGCACGGTCGCGTGCTCAGTAGCGTACTAGTAGATGTGACCGAGACGTTCCCGTTCGAGGGCCCAGGGGAATAAAAATATTAGCCTTCTCTTTCTAAAGCAAAGCTTGGAGCTTTAAGGCTGGCTACAAATTACATTCGTCGATAAACGTCGGTTAACTGCTAACTGGTGGTCAGTCGACTATCTGTTTCTTCTTAGCATTCATAGACGGATCTTGTATTCAAGACAGTCTTGAATTTATCTAAAGATGCTGTATGGAACATTTTATTGGCTACGGAGTATCTAAAGATGATCTTAAGACGGTCTTGAATATAAGACAGGAAGTTGACCTCTGGTTCCAGATAGCACAAGACACTCCCAAGAACATTTGAAGAATATTCTTCAAGAATATTTGGAATATTCCACAGGTCATTCTTATATATTTATCTTATGTTCGAGGAATATTCGACTGGCTCTACTATAAGTCTTTTTCGAATGTGAATAGAATAATCTATCGAATATAGCGTGTCGGTTACATATGGTATGATCACTGGTTTCACCGCCTTTTGCATAAGATACGTGTATTACACAATAAACAATGTGCGCTACATAAACTTGTAAGCTACAGAAGCGTCAATTAGGCGGCATCTAGCGTGTAAGGCCCAGGTTCGAATAGAAAGAGGAACTAGAGGCGCTAAAGCCACGTAGAGGGGCAGTTCCAAATTGTTCGAACGAGAGGACACACGGAACCGGCGAAGCTAAGAACGCGGATATATAGAGAGGGTCGCGAGGGACTGCGGACCGTGCGGGCGAGTAAAAATCGCGAACGTGAACGTGTGGCGGCGACGAAGGACTGTCGGGCGAGCACCTAAGTACGTGTCGCGAGTGGTGGGCTCTGTAAAATAGCTCGGTGTAATCGGAATCTGTGTAAACTTAAATACATGGTATAGCCTTCTGGATAACGAGAGGTGACGTACGTCCATTCGCCATAGCCCTTCCTAATTAATCCTCCCTAGAAAAAGTAAAAGAAACCCCAGACTACGGGGCGTGGAGGGAGAAGGGTGAAGTTTAAAATCTTACAAACTTGATGAATATTAAAAAGTTATTCTGAACGAATACTCCAAAGACATTCTCGACGAATATTCTGAAAACCTTCTTTGCTTTCAATATACGATTTCTAATTGTAACAAAAAATATATATATATATATATATATTTATAGAATATTCCGAAATTAGGAATATTTGCACTCCAGAAGACAATTCATAGAACTATGTGTGCTATCTGGGGATCAACAGTTAACCGACGTTTGCAAAACTGACCCTTGAAGTAGGCTGGTATTACATTTGTCGTAAACAAATGTTTTCAAGCGTGTCGATTGGTCGCAGGATAGAAAAGTTCTCGAGTATCTAGAAATGTTCTATCCTGCGGCCAATCAACGCGCTTGACAAAATTGTAACAGTATCCTTGCTTTGTCAGAAAAGTCAAGGAAGGCCACAGAAGGGCGACACGAGACTACGTCACTGCGACCAGTCTCCGTTCTGTTGCCTCTCTCTCTCTCTCTCTCGCGCGCGCGTCCCTTAGTCCCTCATCATTCTCGGTGGCGTACCGGCACGCTCGATGCACGTAGTAACCTGATCCTAGCGTGCAAGGTTCGTTATCGTCCTGGCTTCGTGTAAATCGTCTATCAGTTTCGCGCGACATCGAGGGTCCAGTTCGCTTCGCGGTGCCTCTCGCGTCTCCCCCCCCCTCCCTCCTTACGAAGTACGCGAATCTTCGCTCGGAAAGTACGCGGCGGAAGCGTAAAGGGTCGAGGAACGTCGGACGGAGCGCATCGCGCGTTATCTCGAGTTGACACGGGCACGAGGGAAGCGGAAAGAGAAAAGGAAAGCCGAGCACGGAGGGTGGAGAGGGAGGTGCGATATGCCCCCGCGAAGTGAAAGGCTCGCGTTTGGCGCGCATTTTTCGACGCGCGCGACGCTTCGGACTTCGGGCGCGTCTCGCGTGATATCGGCTCGCGAGGGGGGGGGGG